TACTTAGCCTAACTCCGCCTAACATCGCCGCACTTCTGCTCCCATTGTCCCTACTTAGCCTAACCCCGTCTAACTTCGCCGTACTTCTGCTCCCATTGTTCCTACTTAGCCTAACTCCGTCTAACTTCGCCGTACTTCTGCTCCCATTGTCCCTACTTAGCCTAACTCCGTCTAACTTCGCCGTACTTGGTGTCAGAAGTCCTGAGTTACGTGTAGAGTAAAGAGGTTAAGGCGTGATGGGGTTTTGATGGCCAAAGGAGGGTCATTGTTGGTGGAGTAATCGAGGTGTCACGACGTAGTTCGTGACACTCGCCATATCCCCGATATCCTACTCCGCTCACTTTGACTAACTTCGCCTACTTCCCCTGTTCTGCTCTCCCTCGGTTTCCTTCCCCTAACTTCGCCGTAGTTCTCCGCTAGGCGGGGTTATCGTGACAAATCCCCCCTTGGTTCTCGTAACTTCACCGTAGTTGGTCTCAGTGGTTCGAGTGCAGGTTGGTGATGGTGAAAGGAGGGTCGGTGATGGTGGTTGTCAGGGATGTTACGACGTAGTTCGTGACATCCTCCGCTCTCCCTACTTCTTCGCTCCCCGCCAAACTTAGTCCACCTTCCGTGTTCTTCTCCCTTGGTCGTGGAGTTTGTCCCGACCCCTCTGAACCTGTCTGTACAGTCGGTGGTTCTGATAACCCGGTTGGCTGGGGGGGTGGTTCAAGCGGTAGGGGTGGATAAAATTCATCTGTCACAATCGTCGTTTCTTCTTCTCTACTGACCGACGGTCGACAAACCTCGGCTAACTACGTCGTAGTGGGGCGTCGATGTTTCACTAAGACAGGGTACTCGTCGAGGAACTACGGCTAACTTCGCCGTAGTAATACGTCGAGTGGTGAATGATAAGATGGTCGTCGATGAACTACGGCTAACTTCGCCGTAGTACGTTGAACTGCTCGGTGGTCGCTCTCCTTAACTCGAAGGTTGTAGCTACTGAATATATCTCTCGCTACTGACAACAATCAAGGATCGCTGAAGAAGTTCAGCGATCTGTAAACTATCTATACTACTCCTCTCTTCTCGTAGAATGTCCCTCAACTCCTGCACTGCCTCACGCTCAGTCCTCTTCGTTCAACTTCGCCGTACCTTCCCCTGTTCTGCTCTCCCTCGGTTCCCTTCCCCTAACTTCGCCGTAGTTCCCCGCTAGGCGGGGTTATCGTGACAAATCCCCTCTTGGTTCTCGTAACTTAGCCGTAGTTGGTCTCAGTGGTTCGAGTGGAGGTTGGTAGTGGTGAAAGGAAGGTCGGTGATGGTGAAAGGAGGGTCGGTGATGGTGGTTGTCAGGGATGTCACGACGTAGTTCGTGACATCATCCCCTTGGGTTGATCCTTCGGGGGTATCAATTGCACCAGGCAATGATCCCAAGCTTTGTCTTAATTCCTCCAACATCCTCCTCTCCGTCTCTTCTACCGTTTCTCCTGGTCTACTCATACTTCTTGTAACTCTTCTTTCCGGTTTCATACAAACCCGAACTGCTCCGAGGTTTGTACGGGTCGTCGGTAAGAGCGATCCTTGATACTGTCACAATCATCGTTTCTTCTCTTCCAATGACAGACGGTCGACAAACCTCGGCTAACTACGTCGTAGTGGGGCGTCGATGTCTCACTAGGACAGGGTACTCGTCGGGGAACCACGGCTAACTTCGCTGTGGTAATACGTCGAGTGGTAAGTGATGAGGTGATCATCGATCAACTGCGGCTAACTTCACCGTAGTATGTCAAACTGCTCGGTGGTAGCTCTCCTTAACTCGATGGTTGTAGCTACTGAATATATCACTCGCTACCGACAACAATCAAGGATTGCTGAAGAAGTTCAGCGATCTGTAAACTATCTATACTTCTCCTCTCTTCTCATAGAACATCCCTCAACTCCTGCACAGCCTCGCGCTCAGTCCTCTTTGCTCAACTTCGTCGTACCTCGCCATATCCCCGATATCCTACTCTGCTCACTTCGCCCAACTTCGCCTAACTTCCCCTGCTCTGCTCTACCTCGGTTCCCTTCCTCTAACTTCGCCGTAGTTCTCCGTTAGTCGGGGTTGTTGTGACTAATACCCTCCAGGATCTCATAACTTCGCCGTAGTCGGTCTGAGTGGTTCGGGTGGTGGTCGGTGATGGTGAAAGGAGGGTCGGTGATGGTGGTTGTCAGGGATGTTACGACGTGGTTCGTGACACAAAGACAGGTGGACTGCAACTATTTAATTAGCTTGGACAACAACGGTTAGTATGTTGTCCGCAGACTTGTGATGTGGTCGGATAACTAAGATGACTTGCGAAGGATCCGGGCAGGTCGAGATGATGGCGAGGGTGTGTGTGATGGTGTGGACAGGGGTAATGATGATGAGGGATGCGTTGGATGTAAGTAGTATGTCAAGAAGAGGTCTTTTGTGAGTGGCAAATAATATTTTGATCCTTGAGAAAAGGAAACTACAAAATAGGTACGAGCTCTTTATATACTTTTCAAACGTCCTCTCACCCGATAATCAGTACAATTCTTGTATAATGGAGTCACCTGATAATCAGAGGAGAATAGTACAATAAACACCTGATATCCTGCATTATCGTGTGATAATCACCTGATAATTGGTGTATTAGCTGACATTGGTGATAGTCAGGTGAGAATCATATGAGAATCAGGTGATAATATGGGGGATCAGGTGAGAGTCAGGTGAAAATCCCTGACTCAGATGATAGTCAGATGACACTCAGGTGACAGTCCCTGAATCAGGTGATTTGGGGCACAACTTGGTAGAGTTGTGACACTACTGATCAATACACACCCGCTACTGATCAAGAAGTGTACGCCACTGATGAAGAGTACACCCTAGTGATGAGGAGTATGCACTAATGGTCAGAGGTTTTATCTCTTTCAGCAGTGCGGACGACTCAACTGAGAGAAACAGAAGGAAAACCACTTTACTGAGCATATTTAGCCTATATTCGAACCTCTTGAACCTCTACCAAACTCGCAGGATTAAACCAGGTATTTTTGAGTCAAAATCTGCATAATGTGGGGGCTTAAGAAACACCCTCTGAACCCCCTGAAAGATCAGAGCTCATCTAATTCCCAGGCCTCAAGATCACTTCTCGTGGCTCCTTTATTAGTCTGACTTTTCAATGGGTTTTCAGCCTTTGATGAGGAGATATCTTCTGGGGCTTCTAGGATGAGTCAGAGGCTTCTGAAAATTTGTTTAAAACACTGCTTTTGATACAGGGTTTCCTCAGGGTTTCCCCCCTCGAAGTAGGGAGAGGAAGGAGTTTTAGGCTCAGTTTGGAGGATTTTGTCTATAAATAGTGGTTCTAGCTCTCTGTTTGTTTCTCTGTCTCCCTGATTAATTGTCATCATTGATTTCAACTCTCTACTCTAACTTACTGTTGCCTTTAAAACTGTTTGAGACACGCCATTGCGGCTTCATTGTCATCAGTCGTATATTCGTGACAGCTACCACCCAGCATTTCTACGCACCATGGCAAAGCCAGGTGCAGTTCATCAACGATCACCTTATTGTTTCCCACTCGACGTATCACTACGGCGTAGTTAGCCGTAGTTCTTTGACGAGTACCCTGTCTCAGTGAGACATTGACCCCCCAAGACGACGTAGTTAGCCAAGGTTTGTGGACTGTCAGTCAGTAGAGAAGAAGAACCGACGAATTGTGACACTTCTCTAGGTGGGGTTGTTGTGACTAATACTCCCTAGGTTCTTGTAACTTTGCCGTAGTCCGTCTCAGTGGTTTGGGGTTGTGGGGGTTGGTGGTGGATAGTGATTTGGTGATGGTGAAAGGCAGGTTGATGATGGTGGTTGTCAGGGATGTTATGACATGGTTTGTGACTGTCACAACTCTACCAAGCGTGAACCGAGTTCACGTGATTTCAACACATTCCAACTGAAATCCTGCAACTTCAATATGAGTTCCAATGAATTCATATCAGTACATGTGATATCACCATGATATCATACGAGTTCACCATGATACCATATGAGTTCACCATGATACTGTATGAGTTCACCATGAATTCATATGCATTCATCATGAATTCATACGTGTTCACCATGAACACCCCTGAACCCAAATGGGTTCAGTCAGAAATCACCTGAATATTGTATGGAACCGTCATGAACTCTGACCAGAGTTCATACAAGTCCATGCGGACTCACCTGATTCCGGGATGAATCCACATGATATCAGTGTGATTCCACATGATATCAATCTGGATGATTCTGAATTCATACAACGAGTTTGCGCATCACAAATCCCTCAGAAAAGGATATAAGGAGGCCATTTGTAGTTTGTAGTTTTCCTTTTCTCAAGGATCAAAATATTATTTGCCACTCACAAAAGACCTCTTCTTGACATACTACTTACATATGACACATCCCTCATCATCATTACCCCTGCCCACACCATTACACACACCCTTCTTGTCATCTCGACCTGCCCAGATCCTTCGCAAGTCACTTTAGTCGTGTTGATGATGGCTAGGGGTTCGGTGATGGTCAAAGGAGGGTCGTTGTTGATGGGATATTTGGGGTGTCACAACATAGTTCGTGACACAGGTCCAGCCTGGACTCTCATTAATCCCTCTGGCTCCACATGAGATGCAGGCAAAGACGCTACCCTGGACAATCAGATGCTATCATGTGTAAAGAGAAGATATACTTAAAAGTAACAAAGCAAAGAAACTGTCATCCACTGCTTGAATGTGGAGTACACAGATTCCACAAAGCTTGTCTGTGAGGTTGGGGTAGAATGTATTACACGCCAAACATGAATCCATCATGGATGGAAGAAGGTGTCAAGAAAGGCAGAGGAATTGCAGAACTTCATGTACAATGGTGCAAGTGATGTGAAAGTGGCACCCAAAATTACATGGAAAGGCAAAATGAATTTTGAAAATTGTATTTCCAAAACCACTATTTTGAAGGACGACTGTTGGGCCACCGTACTGAGTCCACAATGCAGACTATCGCAACGTCTGGTCTTGACAGTAGTATGCCCAGGTGAGTGATACGCATGTGCTCTGCGTCCTGCATCATTGACGCTTCACCCTACGCAGTGTTTACCGGCAAGGGCGGGGAGCATAGGAGTTGTTGGGGTGACATGCAGGTTGAGGATTGATGGCAAATTGAGACACCTTGAGAAGGTACGGTGGCCCGATAGTCCGTTGCGATTTTCAAATTTCATTCCGCGATTTCCATTCTTGTCCGGCTGATGTCGTACCCAAACACATGAATCATGGGCTGCATCCCTCACCCACAGATCACTCCCAAGGGTCTATACTCGTCGGGTATGCTTATCAGATAGTAAAGAGTACTGCTTGGAAATTTCATGCATGTAGCTGCACAGGGAAGCAAGTAGGAAGGAGCGCTAAATGATCACCAGTATCAATATGAGTAGATGTAGTTGCTGCTCTATGTACATACTTACTTGTACTCAGAGACATTGATTGACACAACTACCGCAAAAACACAGTAAGTGTTTCTCTTGAAATTATATGCAGCATACAGCTACTAATGTCCTCATAGATTTCAATCTCAATAGGAGGAAGAGGAGTTGAGTACCAGCAGTGACTGAAGGTGGAAGGCGGATACCATCTACTATAGGCCAGGTGATCAGGTGAAGTGCCACATTAGTTGGAGAAAATTTGATCTTCTTCCATACAGAATTGCAGGAGATATGCTTAGTACTGAGGGGTAGCTATGTCTTGTGGGATCATGAATCTGGTCTGAACTCCGTACTAAGTGGATGCACGCAGGAGTTATGGGGAAGGAAAGGATAGCATTTGAAATGAAAACGCAAAATCAAAAAACACCAAAATCAAAGAACCATCGGGCCACTGTAGAAGGCTGAAACGCAGTAGTCTCAAACTCAAAGCACTTCTTATAGACCTCAACGGTACTCTTCATATCGGCACTGAACCCACACCAAGAGCTCTCGAGGCTATAGCCAAGCTCCGAGCTGCCAAATTCCCTTTCATATGTTGGTAAGTCCTTCTTACCTCTATCATTTTCTCACCCACGACAACTCCCGTTCTCCCGACTCTTTGATTATCCCGCGATTCTCATGTGCTCATGACATTCCGCTTCTCTTGACTTTTCTGACAACATCTCCCCTTTTCCATGAGCGAAAAGTCCAAACCGGCCAGTCGTCCTCTCGTGGTGCTGTTTGGAAGTCGCCATTGAATATATTGACGGTGATTGAACGTGACTGACAATCAAGCTCTAACTCCACCACAGTCTCCGATTCGGATCTCGTATCCAAGCTGTCTAATATGGGGTTTGATCTTTCCTCAGAAGAGATCATAACTTCTTTGAGCGCATGTCGGCAACTGGTGGAAGATCGTCATCTCCGGTAAGTAAGTCATATCTCCACCTTCCCTCCCTACTTTTTTCGCCTCAAATCTTGCACAAAAACTCTTCTCTTATACATCACACTGATAGATTGTACCACTGAATGTGCATGGTCATCACCTTCTCTTCTCGGAGAAATTCTTTCTTCGGCGATATCGACTCCGACGATCTCTTAAAAGCAAGAGAATTACATTACTCACGATCAGACCTTTTCTTTTACTCTCCCCTTCTGCCCAGAAGGATTTCCCTCGTATACTCGACGACCACAATGAGACTACACCATACGACAGCGTCGTCATTGGTTTACATCCCCCTTCTCTCTCATATGAAAATATCAATCTGGCATTCCGCATTCTCAAATCTGAACCTATCTCACACCCCCACTCCCAGTCCACACTTTACAGCACACATGACAGTCCCTCAGACTTAAGACAATCCGAGACGCCCAGAAAACCGGTACTTATCGCTCCTCACACAGCAATGTTTCGTCAGGTCCCTGAGTCGTCTGATCTCCCCGCGGGTCTTTCACTAGGGATAGGACCCTTCGTTCGGGGGTTAGAACATGCCAGTGGGGTGAAAGCGGAAATAGTTGGGAAACCCACTCGACAATTCTTCGAGTTAGCGATCGAAAGACTCAAACGTATGTATCCAGGACTGGAATTGAATGAAGGGGAAATAGGAATCGTGGGTGATGATGTGGTTCATGATCTTGGTGAAGGCGCGAAAGAATTGGGGTTGGGAAGGGTTTTGGTCAAGACTGGGAAATATAGAGAAGGCATGGAGAAGGGAGAAGGAGTAGATGTTGTTGAGTGCTTCGCTGATTTCGTGGATGATTTATTGGGATGAGTTGTACAATTTGGGTGTAACTATCTGTTGGTTGTCTTGATCAAAATGTAATACGGTGTATAGAGTACCTATAGGGTGTACATATAAAGCTATAGATGAAGATATGCCATCCAGACATCAACAATGCTAATAAAAAGTGGTACAAACTCGTAACCTTGCAACCGTAATCGTGAGTCGTGATGGACAATGTGGCCTCGAAAAGTATCCTGGATCCTGTCCCTACAACAATGAAACACCCTAAAAGCCCATATGCGCCGCCAACTCTGGTCGTCTACAAGAGCCCGGACCTATCCAGACACCCGCAAACGGACCCGCATGATCCAACAACGACGTTTTCGACAACTCCATCTCCTCACTGCAAACCCGATCTTTGCCCTCTCCACGACAGGCATAAGCAACCCTAGGATCCGCTCCAACCCAAATTTCCCCCACTGGAGGATGTACCAAACCCATATGACGTTCTGGGAGATGTACCACCGTATCGGCATACGAAGTGATCTTGTGAATCTTTAATTTCCCGTGGGTCTCTTCTACCAAATCCTCAACCCAATCAGCAAACACCGTATCGCCCACTCTAGGCAGACCGAAAAGAGTCGCAGTGATATCGATCTCTGGCAGCGGTGTTATGTAAGATGCGGCGGCAGGACCTGAAACTTCCAGATGTAATGCGAGAGCGATAAGCAGACCTAGAGCGGCGCCTATTCCATGACCGACTACATCTACGTGTTTGATCTGAGACTTTGATGCGGAGGAGTGACGGGTCGACCAAGAAGTCAAAACGGAACGAAGAATGTCTGTACCTGATTGGAAAGGAGGAAGAGGATTCTCGAGGTACCCGAGTAAGGATACGAGGGCGTCGGTACCGCGTGTCTCTAGTGCAGGGATGTAAGAATGATGGATCGAGGGCGGGGGAAGAAAAGGCAAAACTTCAGGTGGGAAAAGCCAGGATGGGAGGTCGACTAGGTTGGAGGAAAGACCGTGAGTCAGATTGTGGGTAGGAGACGAGGAGAGGAGTTCAAGGGTTTGGTCTAGAGAAGGCAAGGAGGACAATGCGAGAGTGAGAGTTTGGGAAGAAGGATTGTGAGATATGTACCCTTGTTTGTCAGTGACATTTCATCATGTTTGTGCTTCCTCTTCCGACATCTGCTTCTCATTGTTTCTTCAGGTTCTGACATGGCTTCGGGGACGAGAAGTGACTTGATACTCAGAGGTGGATGATTAGATGGACAGGACATAGAGTGAAGATGAGACGGAGAGAGAAATTACAACTCACAGCTGATTGGGAGCTCATCCTCATATGGTTCCCTCTCCCGACTAGAAGCGACAACCGAACCAGTCTTTGCCACTCTTTGTAGGTTTTCGCCTTTACGCGGAGGCTGCAACTGTCGATCCTGGGGACAATACGCATTACTACCTATTAGTGTTTTCCTCAGACATATCGAACGAGCTCACCTGGCTATGGTGGCCAACCTGGCAATCTCCATCATGTCGGCTCTTGACACTGGCGTCTTTCCTACCGGTATTGTTTGAGCGGAATTTGTCGAGTCGGTAAGAATCGAAATGAAGTTATTTGCGGGCATACCCGCCACACTCAAACCAAGAGTGAGTAGGATGACTGGGAACATATTGCTGGAGAAGCTTGATGATAACGATGAAAGGTAATCTGAGAGAAACTGTGTGTGAAGGATGAAGAAAGATATTCAGAGGTCTGAAAATAAAACTTGAGTAAAAGTTCGTTATGGAAGTATTATAGAAGTTGAAAGTTTAAGGGGGTTGTTGTTCAAGAAAGCTGAATGAGTAATTGAGATTGTCAAAGCAGTCAACGTCCACATATATCTACTTCGACGCATTAATCTCTATCGTCAGTCTTACGATCTGACGATCACTACGAGTCTCATTTGATCACAAAAGAAAGTAGACCATTAGGCGAAAGCCGGACTGGCTATGAGTAGAACAAACACCGGGGTTAGTATAGTCACTTTATCATTATGTCAAGATGAAAGTGGAAAGCAGCGAATTGCGAGGAAACAGGTTAGCCTTGGTCTACCGTTGTCCACGTGGCATACTCCCTCTACGGTGTAATTTACCGCTTTGGGTTAGCTCAGGGCCAGACGGAACATGAGCCAGCAGGCACCGCGACAACTTTGACGCTTCTTTCTTTTTCTTCATCTCGTCTCAGTACTGTAGCTTTGAACTTACCGGGTTTGAAGGACCGAGTGGAAATCAACGCCATGTTGAGACCTATTTACCCTACATTCTTGAGCCGAACAATGTTCAACTGGACAAGATCTAGACTTCGGATCGGGTCGTCGATCATTTGGGTTGTCACGCATTGATACCCTTTGCGCTTGCCTGCCTAGCTAGGAGGTCTAGAGAGATGTAAGCAACTACCAGCGATCGGCGACCACGCTCCGTTGTCTTGTGGGGCGGGGCATGAGTGAAAGCAAGGAATAACATATCTGACAGCCGACTCCTTGACGAGTGAAGCGTGAAGCAAGTGTTCCTCAGGCGTTGTGGGATATCTGAACACTGCGCCTCCTGCACCTTGAGAGCATATATCCGTTCTCCCGCGTCGGATACCTCTTTTCTTCTCCAGCATCTGATTGTCCGTTCCTCAGTCACTTTCGGTTCCGTAACTCATTGAGGTACAAACAACGTACATCCGTTCGTTTCTCTTTCCCCTCTCTCTACTGTATTTCACCACTGACCCAGTCGCGCCAGTCGGTCAGTCGGTGGATCAGTGGCTTGTGGGTGATTCGGAAGATTGGACATTCGGCGCCCTTCCGGAAACCCTGTTCACTAGCGTCTTTTCCGGTCTCGACTGTCTGTCTTATGCATCCTATTCACCTCTTGTCACTCTTTTTCACTTGATACTCACTTTCCTTTCCATTCCAACCCGCATCATTCTCTAGTGATCTTTTCAAATTCAATACCCCACGACCCCGAAGCTTCAGACCAGAAAGTGGAGGTGTATTATCAAGAGCTCTGCAGTCGACCAGTCTGCGCTCGGACCTCGGGATCCTCGGATCACATCATTAGGTGAGTCTCGATCGGGTATTTTTCATTCATGTGTCTTGTGCTTTTCGTGCCTCTTGACCGTATGACGATCAACGTCAGTGCGTCGATCTCTATCCCCTATCTATTCATCATTCAACGTCTTTGACGACTTTGCATTTTGCTGTGCTTTATCTCATCCGATCATCTGGAATTTATGGATCGTCTTGCTCGCCGAAATGTTTCACCAAGCTACGGAACGTCCCGAAGTCTATATATTTGAAAGGAGGCCCGTGACATGGTACAGGTACGAGTATCCGCAAGTGGGGTACGAGGAGTGACCCATGATACGGGAAATAAGCGTTGACGACCTACGGCGAGGGTACCGAATGGGAGAGAGGACTCTATCATTCACTAAACCTCAACTTCCACACATCTCTCACACTGACCGATGAGAAGTTCTGACCAGGAGAGGAAAGATAGGACGGGTCGTCCTGACCCAATCTCCTGGGTTTCCCGATCCCGAAAGTCTGGAAAGTGACACGACCCTTTATTGGTCATGATACCCTTCCTCAAGGAACGGCGATTATCCCTTAGCCTTTCGGGGTATCTTAATTCGATTATCGCCCAGGAAGATTAGACGGGAAATGGGGATCAAGATGGCTCGTGAACCCCAAGTGTTAATGCGGAGGCTCGTGTTGATAAGATACTTGAGTCAACAGAGTACGAAAAATGCTGATGCTTTGTCAGAAGTACGATTTTTACACTCCTTTCGATCCACCTTTTCGATCCTGCCCTCTTGGGACAATCCATCTTCACTCAGGAGGATCATACATATGCGCATGCGGCTGTGCTGGGCGAGATTCATACGAGGATCCCAACTTGTCGAGCTAACTTTATCAACCATCGAAACCGGCGTTGAACAAGCACGGGCCGAAGATCTAGTAGATACGTCTCTTTGGTTCGAGATCGGTGCTCGTATGCCGCCACCTCCACTTTCTCCTTTACAAGACTAGTCCGAACCAGTTACCCGGCGTCGTCTCCTCTCGTCGTCACTCATCGCCTCCGAGCTCTTTTAAGAAGATCCGTCCGGTCAAACACCCTTTCTCTCCGCCATCAGCTGCAAGTCTCAAGTCACCGGCTGTCGGTCTCCGAACTTGCCGGCTCAAAAGTCAAAACTTTCTTCACGCCCAGTCTAGTACGGCGCCCCAATCTATGGGTGAGTACGCCCTTTCTACAGTATATCCCTCTTTTCTTTCTTTTTCCATCAGACGCGTTGTCGAGGGGTGCGTGTTTGTTCATCATGAAATGCGCGTGGACAAAAGTCGTTTTGCTGGAGTCATCACGCCGTACGCCGACATCACTCCGTCATTTTTATCCTCTAGCCATATTGGCCACATTCATCCCCTTTGACACATTTGCCGCTGGATTTTTGATTTCTCATACGCCCTATCCTATCATGCTCTGAGACACAAGTGGCAAGTTTGTTGCGTAGGGCGTGATCCATTGCGCCCATGAGGTTCAAAGTTGTGGCGTGGCGGCGTGGGGTCTTTGTCGAAAAGAGCAAATTTCCTTCCCGAGTCTCGCGATGCCGGCGGCATGCGGTAGCGGCAAGTAGGGAAAGGTTAGACGTCGTGCTTGTCCCCTATCCCTGTGATCGTGGCTTGTCGAGATGTGGGGCATGGGAGGTAGGACATGGGGTACATGAGTCATCATGTTAGGGTCGTAGGTCGATGACAGTTCTCTCGGTTGAAGGTATTTGACCCCGAGAAAGGCAAGAGATGTAAAAGAAGGGGAGAGATCCGCGCCCGACCTATGATACCCTCCCTTTACCCTTTACCCTTTTGGCATTTTTATTCCTACCAAATGTCCCTCCCCTAGCCCTTGGTGGCACGTCATGTCAACCAAACAAGTCAATCATTCATGATCCACTTCTCTCCTTCTCTCTCTCTCTCTCTCTCCTCCCCTCCCCTCTCCTCTCCCCTCACCTACACCTACACTACCATCATTCAAACTTTCGTCATGTCACTTTCAACAAGTCGTTTCCATTCACCACGGATCAGCTTTGGCTCTCCGTTTATCCCTTCACCTGTCACAAGTTTCTCCTCCTTTGTCCAATCGCAGATCATGCGACAGTAATAAATCCATTCGTCAAAGGGCCGTTTTATCGATCTGATACTTGTCGCTCTATTTCCTTGCTTGCGTACTCAAACCTTGGTCTTTTCAACTCCTTGAAATCCTTCTTATGACCACGCCCCCTCGGCCCCTCCCTCGCCATCCTTTTACTCTCATCTCGTTTCCTTTGATCAAATCTCCGAGATCGCTTGATCAATGAAAGAGTATATCAACGAGCATCACAGCTGACCCCTTGGCCCCTTGTCAGATCATCTCCTAAACCAAGTATCAAATTTCAAACCAGACGACTTATATTTCTTCCCGGAAATCCATTAAAAGCCTCCCTCGATGACCTGAAGGAAACTCTCGACACCATTTTCCTCCGTACCATAAATAAGGCATAAGATCGCGTGACAAACGACAACTGTCCCGACGACCAAACGAATATACTTCAATACCCAACAAAACCGGCATGATACCTCGTCATGAACCCTCGCCAACGTCGTCCTCTCACCCTTCCCCGCCATACCACTCCTCCCCTTCTCGTCTGGGAAAAAGACGGCGACCATCTCCTCCACCTTCACCACCTCCGACGGGAGCAGAGCCGGGACTCGTGTCCAAAGGTTCTCGATCCTACTCGTCACCCACACCGCCAGCTACTCGTACACGGTATTCATCTCCTGTACCTCGGACAAGATCCACAGCTCAGTATCCTACGTCAACCTCCCCTGCAACCCTGTCGGAGTCAGACGAGGGAGGTGCCACCCCCCTCCCCTCCGCCGGTGGAGGCTGGTGAGTTCAGCTCATGTAGAGCCCCACATCTTGCTGACTTCTCAGGACATATCATCTCGAGGTCATCCAACAACCTATCCGCGCACGCGCATGTGGCTTCGGTGACAAGGTGAGTTGACCTCCTTCCGTTCCTTTCTGAACTAGTCAATTGACTCTTTCCCCTTAGGATCGACGACCCCTTTCACCGCCTCCTATTATCCGACTTTGGGTTCGCACCGCCACCGGAGAGACAGTCGATCCAAAGTAAGTATCTCCTTTTACTTCCAGAACCTTTGGCAGGAAGATTGATGATCCAGTCATATCAATGTTCACTTCCTGATCCTCACGGTAGACCTATGGTCGGCGGATCGTACCTCTCAAAGGAATGTGGTCATGCATCCTGCGGCAAGTGGAGGAAAGGAAGAATTCTCTTCATATCCTTCTGGGATGGAACACCATTTTCCCGTGGCTAGTTCTTCTCGGCCGAGTACTTCGTATTCTCGACCTGACACAGGGTATTCGACTTCAAGTTGGGCAGAGTTAGGTCCATCGTCACGAGGTTGGTCAATCCGCTTTGTTCAGATATTCGACTGACATGTAGCACCAGCCTATCCTACCGCTACTTCCCCCCTTCCCTCACCTTATTCTCGCATGACAGCATCTGATGGATATTTTCCTCAGTCAGCTCCACGCTCTCCAATCTCAGCTCCATGGGCTCCACTAACACCACCACAACCACCTACCCCAGTCCGTCGTTCAAGCTATACTGGCCAACAGGCGTATCACGTCCAAGAGCCTCAACGTCCCGTCACTGCACCAGCTCCGTCGGATCCCACTCATAGCTCTCACCATCCTCCCCCTCGCATGCTTCCTTTTCCATTACCCTCTCTCGCCTCGATCACAGAAAGGTTCGAGGGATGGTCAAAACCTCAAACCCCGACCACCTTACCCGCCATGCGCTATCGTTCACAAGAAGAAACGTCGTATCGGCCTTCCACCGGTACCACCGAATCTCGAGCTCCTACAGATTACTCTTTCGGTCGTCCTACTTCGAGCGGCACGTCTGCCACCTGGTATTCTGATCAACAGTACAAAGATTCGACACCTATGGAACAGAGACCAACAACAGCCGGTAGCGGTTGGGGCAGACCATCAAGCTCAAGTTCAAGCGTGCGTTTTGTAGATCGGCCAGGATCTTCTCACGGCTACGCCTCAGAATATCCGGTGCCGGGGATGGACATGAGACAACGGGCAGAGTCACCTGTGGATTCGGGGAGTTATAGTCGGGTATTGGTGGGATCTTTATGTACCATCTGTCGAAGATTGAAAGATCCGGATGGCAACTTTGGACTGTTCTTCTTTGCTCACGATTTGGGGGTCAGGACAGAGGGAACATTTACACTCAAATTTTCATTGTCCAACTTGGCTGCGTAAGTCGTCTCCACGATATAATGAGAGCTCTCGATTGACGAGACAGGATGTTGGTAGGGGTACCGTCTGCTGGTCAACAAACACATGTGCTGGCGGAAGTCTTCAGTACTCCGTTCACGGTATTGTGAGTCTCTCTTCAGCTCTTCTTCCAATGAACAGCTTGACGAACCAATCACCTCTCATCAAATTCCTAGATCCTCTCTTGATTAAAATTATGATAGGCTGATGGTCAGCTCGGCAAAGAAATTCCCAGGGGTCATACCCACTACCGACCTTACCCGGTTATTTGCCGGTCAAAATGTCCGTCTACCCACTCGACAAAAGCGGGCGATCGAAGGTGGAGACGATTCCATCGAAGGGGAAGATGACGATTGATAGACTCATAAATTCACTCTTACACTACTGCACATTGACATATAACAACATTACACGACGGAAGGATATTGTAAGGGTGGTTGTGTCTGTGAACGAAAGTATATACTAAATCACCATATAAAGAGTTAGTCTATTATACACTACAGTAACTAGTAAGAAGATAGTTTGAGGGAATGACATGATCTTGTCTTGTGGCCTTGTAATAAAATACGCACGCATCGGATCTTCTCAAACATCTTTAGAGATGCCCGCCGTGGCCGCGATCGATCAGGCACCGCTTCCCCCCCTTGCCCCACCTTGAACACCTCGAGGTCCTTTCTTCCTCCGTCGCTCATTTACGAAACTTACCTTACTTGCCTTTCATGTTTATCTTCACTCCACTTCTGTATCTAGGCTACACCGAGTGGCCGACCGATTGTCACAGGTAGCTCAATCACTCCAAGGCATCTTCTTGTCGGAGAACAAACATCTCATGAGTTCTTCCACACCCGAGTCTACTCAACGCACAGTGACATCTAATGAGGACGCTCTACCTTTATCGAAAGAAGACGAAAGGGAGAGAAGAATGAGAGAAGATGAAGCGGCTAGGAAGATACAGAGAACGTATAGGAATTACAGAGCTTGGAAGTTGAAGATGTACGTCATTCTCCCAAACCGGTTTCATGTCTCATCTGCCTCACCCCCCGCCTTTCGGTATATTGCTACTTTCCGGATCATCACAGAGGGGAAACTGCTATGATAGAGACTTGTCTTATGTATTTGAGGGATGAAAATGACTTAGCACGATCCGACAGGAGGGAAAGATCTGTCGGTTGACACTGTGCTCGAGATTTCCTTCAAATCGACACCCTATGTCAGACTCGAGGAATGCAGTGGAATAACATTCAACGGACGTCCAACCCATGCTACGTAGTCATATCAGTGATAGGATGAGGCCCTTCTAGACGAGTGGAAAGACGCGCTCAATGGAGAAAAGGTCATGAGTTCTAGCTGACTTGGATAGGGAACGGGATGCCAGATGGAACGATATGAGTAAGCAGCTCGGGAATAGATCGTACGCACAGGAACAGATGGAGAATAAGAATGATGTTGCTTCGAGGTGAGCTCGACCCCTCCCCTTTCCCTATTTCAGCTCAAACATTCCGGTGTTCGCAATCTGGCATGCCCATCGGGGTCTTTCATACAAGTTTGACTCTTCCAGACCAATGTCGCCTAGGGTCGACTTTAGGGCACACAACTACCCAGAACGTTGCACAGAGCTCATGTCACAGGTGGCATCGCGGTCTGCACGCAGCGGAACGAATACAAGATGGTGACGCGCTATACGAAGCCACTCCTGATCATACCTCCTCCATCCGAACCAAATCAGCCTTTGACTATGGCGAATGGACGGAAGAGGAGAAATCTAAAGCTCTCAAGAAGCGCAGAGCAACTTTTCTGGGAAGTCTCAGTATGGGTATAGGGAAAGAAAGGGACCAAACGATGGAATTGCCTTTTCAAAGTAAAGCATTGGAACAACAACATTGGTAAGTCTTGCTATATGTGAGTCGAGTATATCTGATGATGAGGCTAGAGATGATTGATGCTAAACATCGTTATGGTAGCTGCCTTTCAGAAACGACTACAAAAGCTGACATGTTAGGAAGCAACCTGAAGTTCTACTTCCGTATCTGGCAAGAGGCTGAGACCGAGGATAATTTCTTCCGATGGTTCGTTCTGCCGCTAGGGCTCAGATGGTATTGACTGACGATGAGGCTGGACAAAGGCGCCGGGAAAGCCCTCGACCTAGAGGTTCTTCCCCGTGAACGACTTGAAAATGAATGCATCACCTATCTTTCGGCCGATCAGCGCTTGAACTACTTGGTCAACGTTGATAGAAATGGTCGTTTGAGATGGTTAGTCCAACTCTCACAAGAGGTTCAAGCATTGAGAACAGGGCAAGAAACGACGAACTGGTCGATACAGCGGCCGGAAAATGGCACGATGCCGGCAACGGCGGTGGTATCATTCCTGACAACCCTACAGAGCAGATCAACCAGGGAGACGGGCAAGAACAACGGTTTGTGGACGATACATCTCTGAGATCTTCTCGAAGCTCAGTCAGTTATTCTGCCGGTTCGGAGCTACAAGACAACGAAGATACTCATTATGTTGGTCTGGATAAAGACAAGGGACGAAATTGGCTGCAGAGGAAGACGAAGGGCATCACCCCTAGTGGGATCAGGAAAGATCTATTGAGGAAAACTGTCAGGTCAGTCAATCAATCAATAATGCAAGATATAGACTGACATAGTAGGCGAAATACATGGATATACGTTTGCGATATGAAGATGAATATGTTTGTCGGTATCAAGAAAAGCGGCTTGTTTCAACATTCTTCTTGTAAGCCTTCAATTACATTGTACATATATATGAGATTGGCTGATCTATAGTCATAGCGGGTGGAAAGGTCACTTCGGCGGGAATCATCATACTCAAAAACGGTCTCATCAAAAGTCTGAATCCTCTCAGTGGACATTATCGGAGTTCCATCCAGGTCAGCGAGCACAGGACAAGAATGTACATTGAGTTGATCATCAGCACCATCGAGCTTTCATCGCTCAACTGGAAAAAAAGGGTGCGGATCTGTCTCATGTCAAACTGGCCAAGAGCGTCTTTGTAAGCGTCACTTTTACTACATGGGGTAAGAAACTGACGGTCCAGTCGTTATGGGGTTTGGCAAAATACGCTGCTTTTACCAAAGGTCAAAAAGCGATATACTCTGCATTCCTTTCAGCGTTGAGATTGTCCCATGAGCCAACCGAGAAGGAAAAGTCGAGGAAGCTGAAGCAACATTCGGAAGTTGAGGCTCGGGAGCACGAGGAGAGGTTGAAGGAGGTCCATAGGGCGGAGGCAAGCGAAAAAGTGGGGCAGGGGAGTAAGCAGAAAACACAAGAGGTCATCTCTGAGGCTAAAAGGTAAGTCTTCAAGTTGAGATCCACGTGCAGATTCCTGATAGGAACGAGGCTGACAAGTAGGGAGGAGAACAAGGAAAGAAAAGACGACACAAAGCAAGAAATACGACCAACATGACACTATTATCATAGACTCGGATGCTATTGCCACTGATATCACCACTGACCGTGACTCACACGCTTAGAACGAACAAAGGTTGAGATCCATTGTGAGTTGTCATTTGTGGTGATCGAACGGGTGAGGTCCGAGCGTTTCACCTCACGAAGTCACATCTCATCTTAATATACTCATGGTTGGGTCTGACGGGCTCGAGGGCTACAGAGTTCGCTTTCATATGGTGTGCTCATGTCACCTGACACGTCCTGCCAACACAATCCTTTCATTCAAGGGCATGTATTCTGACACAAAGACTTTTAGACAAGAAGAGCCCTCCTTTATCCTGCTCATATCAGGTTAAGAGTGTGCTCAAACAGCTGGTGAATTGCATCTATTCCCTTTCCCCTCCTCCACCGACACTCTTCACAGACTTCTCAGACCACACCATGTCAACTTGGCAGAATGACGAAAAGATTGCCCCAAAGGGGTCGGCAATCGATACCTCTCTCCGCCTCCGGACAACAGAACGCTACTATTGGACAATCCTCTATTCGTTCAAAAAGTTTAAGACCACTGAGGAAGCCGTGACGGCATTGAACACCATACGATATGAGCAGCAACAGCTTGCTAAAACCGTTGGGGAGAGGACAGCTGAAGATGATCCAACCAGAAGAATTGACATCTCACAGTATTTCCAACAAGACACAGGCATTTCATACCCTCCATCACACATCACCGGAGACGCTGGCACTTTGACAGTGTGGGTGAGGGGATGTGCGACTGATCTGGAAAGGCAGCGATACGAATATATCACTGAAATGCAATATCCACTTGCTAATCATATCCTATGGGAACAAGAGACACTTGACCTAGTCATGAAGTGTACAAAAGCTTTATCAATGGTTTGGGAAGATGTGGATCCTATTCGGTGTGTAAAACAAATACTTTGTCCTCACAGGATGGAATGGACACAGGCTGATTGCAGATCCTCTCAATTATCTTGGGCTCTTTCTCAACTTTACAAATCTCGTTTGCAGAATGCTGACTCCAGGACCACAGTGGATATTTATGAGAAGAGCGTCACGGAAGTTCAAGAAGCAATGAAGAGGCTCCAAGGCTCCCTTCAAGAAAGCAAAACCAATGTCCACTAGAGCCACAGGATCACATCCAGACTATCACACTTAATTCACTTGATTTGCGCTTCTGCCGGTGTCAATTGAAGGGAGGATCAAAGTAAATTGAAGCAGCCATGATACCTTAGCTGGCGCATTGACAGAAGACACTTAATTGCTTGAATGACCCATGCAATGGTGCTCACTAAATGGCTAGCCTGAACAACAGCCCAGAACGAGGAAGATGTTTCATCCGGCCAGAGTCTTCTTTATTGTTATTCGCTCCGATTAGCTCACGCCTTATTGACGTGATCAGGTTATGGCGTGACGTCTTTCCCTCCTTTTGAATCGTATAGACTGAAACGAGAAGCCTACTAATGACTTATTCTCCTTTGAACCGTTTAATGCAAGAGGACACAGAGTACTTAAGCATGATCATGATAAGTACAATACACTTGTCTTACTTTCCCCAAATTTTCCCCAAATTGAATTGACTCTGAACATACTCCATATCATACACAATATGACAACTCCACAGGACGTTGAACAACCAATTGATACTGACGGAGTTTCATTGGACCATGAGACGCGAAGAACCTCTACTCTACTTTTTTGCAGTAGCATTATCCTTGGTTCTTCGAAGCTGCAAAAGACAGACAACGTCCTGACAGCCATTTCCAGTATACAATCACACGTCACACCCTATGGCCCCTCAGCTTGTGGTACATGTGATTGTACTAGTGTTCCTCAAGATCTCCAACAGAAACCAGGACAGTCCTACACCTCACCATATAACACCAGGGACGTGGGAATTCTAGACGACTGGGTGAAGAGTCTGGCTGGTGAAACACTAGGCAGGGACACAAATCTCATCCTAGATGTAGGTTCCTCCACCAACCCAACAAGCACTTTTGAAGCAACACTCCACACTGCAAGCCAATGTGTTGATGCCCTCAAGACAGTCTGGAGGGAAGCTGAGCCTCATCGGTGAGTCAAAATCAATCTCTTCAGAGTATGAACCACACAGATTTGTTCAGATGCTGATGGTACAAGAACTCTACAGCTGGCACAAGCTCTGTATGATCTTGAAAAAGTGCGTTCTGAGCTGGGTGAAGTCAAGGAAACGTTGGACACTTATGGTAAGGGGATCTACGCTTATCAGCTGGAGAGCGAAAGTCTGAGGGATGAGAACGAAAGTCTGAGGCATGAGATGGAAAGTCTGAGGAATGAGACCGAATGACTGAGAAACGGAGGAAAATTGAACGGATCTGATTTGTTTTCCACAACTGTTTGAAAGCAAGTCCATTCAATCAGACTAACTGAAGCCTCGTGGCCCCTCCACGGAGCTGCGCGGAAGCAGGGATGAGATGTATTTATTGACTTGTACTTGTCCACTGAGTGATCCTGCTCAATCTGCCTGTGAAATTAGCTTCGAGACCCCCCCCTTTCCCTTCTGTCGCGATATCACGGGTACCTTACCTGGTAGTCGTACTCCATTTTCTACTCCCGTCCCCGTCTCCATTCCCGCGTCCGGGCTTACTCCATTTGGTACTACGCCTGGTACCAATCCTTTGACACCTCTACCCTTTTTTACATCTCCATCTCGGTAAGTATCATCGCTCTTCCTCTGCTATTCTACCTCAACTTTATTACAAACTATGCATGCTCTTCATCGGTATCATCCCGCTTGTTTTTAGTATATAGACGTAGTCTTTTCTCAGCAATGTCTTGTCGAATGTATTTTGTGTTTTCCTAGTTATATCATTTGACATACATCTCATCGATCTTACAGATCTCTTCGAAACACTACATCACTAGGTTTGTTCCTTACAAGGCCTCATTGTCACAGCTCATCGACACAGACTATTCCGACGTCTGGTCCTTACACCTTCCCCTTCGAGTGTGTCTCAGAATCTCTGACCGTCTTGTCTTTCAAATCACTCTGGAGACGTCTCTTGTCTGGCCATTTTGTTTGACTTCGCACAGGGAATGGGCGAGTCCCGCATTGACCATGCCAAGCATGGCCAACCCCCTTGAATCATCAGCTGACTGTGTGCTCATCTCATATCGTCTTGTACTGGAAAAGAGAGCCTGTTAGGTGACGTACGGAATGTTGAAATACACGTCATCGTGATAAGCGACTCATACTACCATATTGTTTCCTCCCTGGTAGTTTTTCATTGCTTTCTACAGAGCTAAGAACTACCAGATACATTTGTCTGTAACTACCGCTCCAGCAATCACTATCGACACGGAAGACGTGACACTTTTGTTAGCCGATAGAATCGGGCCAGGACGGCCGAACCGCCGTTAGAATTACCCCTTCCGTCGAATATTTCTCCGTTCAACTTATCCTCTGAACTTTATTTGATCGTCTCTGGTTTTATGTGTGTGAGTGGAATGTGATAAGTATAGAGACATGTAGAATTGATGCATGCTCTTTTTCCCCTCTGTATTACCATTTAATTATTAGTTAACAACTTTGAAGTGTCATGTCACGGTCCTGTCCTTGACAGACCTCGATGGATCAAAGACAGGTGGACTGCAACTGTTTAGTTAGCTTGGACAACGACGGTTAGTATGTTGTCTGTAGACTTGTGATGTGGTCGGACGACTTAAGTGACTTGCGAAGGATCCGGGCAGGTTGAGATGACGATAGAGGTGTATGTGATGGTGAGGGATGTATCAGATGTAAGTAGAATGTCAAGAGGTCTTTTGTGAGTGGCAAATAATATTTTGATCCTTGAGAAAAGGAAAACTACAAAGTAGATATGTCTAGTATTTATACTTTTCTGAAGGACCAACACGTAATTCAATGATCACCTCATATCCCCTGATATCAACTGATATCAACTGATATCGACTGATATCGACTGATATCGGCTGATATCGACTCATATCAGCTGATATCGACTGATATCGGCTCATATCAGCTGATATCGACTGATATCGGCTCATATCAGCTGATATCGACTGATATCGGCTCATATCGGCTCCAACAGGTGGAGCTCAGGGTTTTGGGGTCAGGACCCTGCAAAAGCTGGGTCGTGACATGTCACGGGTATGATTGTGACCGGCTGAAGATCCATGTCCCACAGAAGAATTCCTGCCATGTTCTCAGATATCCTGCAGACTCTAGAAACTGTACACCTGTGAAGAGACAACCCCTTTCTGCTTTGTATCAGAAGGAGAGGGGTGCAGCTGACTGGGTTGCCACGCAACAGCCTCCTCAACATCCTAATTTTGAAATGCTGTATCTTCCTCCCATGCTGTAACAGTACTGGAAACACAATGACTAGGTTGCAGGTTGGGTCAAACTCAATGGAACTCTTGTGGGAATCTAGGTGTCTCTGGTGCTATGTGATGGATTGTGTCTCCTCTGCAATCAATGTAGCCAAAGAATGATATGGAAGAATCAGCAAAGTTGGTACTTTGCTGATTGTACTATATACTGTCTACAGGTATCCGTGTCCTTGTCCCCTCCCCTGCTGCAAGCGTCTACGTACTTACTCGGACAGGTGAAAAACCGCTTTTGAGCAACCCCAGTGGGAAACTCTCGAAAAGGGAAAACCCGTCCCTACTTGATGCAGCACTGCCTCCTTTTCTCGATCTTCTCGACGGATTTATTGAGTCCGTCACCTGTTGCTCATTCAGCACTTTCCTATGAGTGCTGCATGTACTTACCTGTTGCTCATTCAGCACTTGAGTGATGAAGAGACAACAGGTACTGAATCTAGCTATGTACGACTACCGGCGGAGTTTACCGCCTTCCTATCAGGAGGACACGTGATTGTACTACCTACTTCCAACGCTTCTCTGTCCTAACCTGTCGAACTCGATAGAGTTCTCTCGATTTGTTGTTACCCCGTAACACATGCATACATTCATAGGATCTTTTTCTGTCCCTCGTTCCAATCATTTCCAAGAGCTACAGATTCAATGAAAAGTCAATGTTGATCAGTGGTGTTGTGGAAACCTCATATCTTCTCAGCGTCATGGCCCTGGGTGTCATGACACTTTAAAGTGTCACAGGTCTTCAGCCGGTCACGCTCATACCCACATTGAAGTGTCGCGTCTTCTGTAAGTCACCTAACAGAGCTCCTTCCATGCTAACAATTCTGACACGTTCGAAGTCTAGCTGAAACATCAGATTTGATTAGCTCTTCAGACACCCATGAGACATTTCAAAGAAACTTACACAGAGTCCGTTTTCTGTATACGCCGGCCCAAAGATGGTGGGCCAAGCAGATAGCCTTGCTCTTCTACTGCATATCAGCAGCTATTTCAGTCACCTATCAAACACGTCCTCTGAACATCATCATAACAAAGCCCCTCTGATTCTGCTGTGTTTGTTGTGGAGATGAGACGACTCTCTCTTCTTTTCATTCTACTCCCTTCAGTTGTCAGATGACACCATCGTAGGTCAGACCTGGGTTATCTCATTCCTTTATGAACACAGCTCCGTCACCATGGCAACCTCGATAGTAGAAGATGGACTTGCACAGGTCAAATTACTTCCAATTCAGAGACCACGCCATGTCCTTCAGCACTACCGCAGAATCCCTAGTTCAGTACGGTCAAAACGTCGAGGACAGTGAGATCCGGCTCATAACCACCAGCATCACTCTAGACACCCTTTTAAACTGCTTTGAGGCACTAAGGGCTTCCGAGCACATCACCAACGCTGTTACGGAGGCGGCCCTCTCAGCTCGTCAAAGCATTTGGTACAACTGTTATGACTTGAAACCATGCCGCCTTGAATGTTGTGGTGACTGCACATCCATACACTATCATACTCCCCCTTACTTCCAGCAAGAACCCGGCACATTTTACACACCACCTCACATCTCTATGGATACCAACACATTGATCTCGTGGGTTCAGGAGACCAAAGACAAGGTACATGCTTGGGAGGAGTCGCATACCAACGAAGAATTGTTCAATGTCTTACCCAATCGGATGCTCTGTGATGATTCCCTTGCAACAGCAACGCAATGTGCGGACATGCTGGCAAAAATTTGGACGGAAGATGACGCTAAAAGGTGAGTTTGTACAGATCACCAATGGTCAATACTAACAAAGATAGGTCCCAACTGCATGCCCAGAGCCTACACCAGGCTCAGCGTCACAGACTTGCCAATGATAAGCTCCAGGACGAGGTGGAAACACTCACGCAGAGTCTAGCTACCCTTCAAAGGGAAAACCGGGAGCTTAAGGATCAATTGCATACTTCATGCGTTGACTAGGGAGTAGTACTTTGAAGTCCGGGATGATCCAGTCAGTGAAACATTTACGAAGTGACTTCATGCACGCACAGAGCCTGTGGGTGTGGACTATGAAGAGATTACATGCAAAGACTTTCTAGCAGAGCTTTGCTTGGTCAACCTGCTTTTGCCTTCTGTCCTGTCACATCTGCAATGTGCACACAGAGAGCCCCCTTTCAGTAGTCGAAAATGAATATAGTAATTAAAAATCAAAATAAGCAATATTTTTAATTGAAAATGTGAAATAATTTTATATAAAACAAGATATAGACAGGGCCTCAATTTTTGATCCTAATGACGGAACAGCACCAGGTTTCCTTGCCCTCATACCTCACCCTCAATACTTGTCACGAGACCAACTAACCAACATTGAGACGATATAACAGTGCCCTTCAGAGGCAGCGGTCTAAACCACTGTGCTAAAAGGCCTATTAACCGGCGGTTACTGCATACCGCCGGTCGCTGGTTAAATACCCAACCCATCCTATCACTATCACTATCAAACTGTCTTGTCACTTCGTGACATTATGCCTTCCCTTTCAGCCCCATCTGGGGCCCCAACAGGGAAGGGTACGATAGGCCGAAAACTTTCTCCGAGAGGGAGGTTTTCCAAGTAGGGACTGAATTTGACCCAGCCCACCCTGGGAGTCGAACCCAGGATCCTACCCGTAACCGCCGGTTAATCTGTCACGAGACCAACTAACCAACATTGGGACGATATAACAGTGCCCTTCAGAGGCAGCGGTCTAAACCACTGTGCTAAAAGGCCTATTAACCGGTGGTTACTGCATACCGCCGGTCGCTGGTTAAATACCCAACCCATCCTATCACTATCACTATCAAACTGTCTTGTCACTTCGTGACAATACTGTTGTGATTGATATGGCGTAATGGTTTTCCTTTTATCATCACGACTTCGGTTGTCTATGAGTCGTAAGGGGAAAGATAGTGGTACGACCTCGACGGCTGTGTCTTCCTTTGATATGACTTCATCCTGTGACGTTTAGAAGTGAATTCACACACCTGTCAGGACTTTGTACCATCAATATGGTCTGTATCTTCTTATCATCATATTAATTTCTTCTAGTACACATACGTGTTAGCTTCTCAAATGTCGATAGATCCCCAAGAGTTCGTCCAACAAGCTATCAAGGACGATCCTAAGACAGTCCTGACCTTCCGACTGAGAACGATTGAAACAAGCTGTTGTTCAATTATGTTTGCCTTTCCACACATCTGTGCCCCCACTGAAGTCCATAAGGCTGTGATGGATATTCACTCTCACGCAAGTCAGTTGCAACAAGCAGACCTTCTAGAAGACCACGGCAAGGTTGTTCTTCAGGAGTACTGGATTGACAATGGTAATCCAGATCAACTCACATATTTTCGAGACCTAGGAATTGTATCACACTGGGCCCAAGGGAGCCTACCCGATCCACGTGCACAATGTCCTGCTGGTGCTTCAATGGTAGGACAGATTGCACACAATGCAAGTCACAGTCTTGGTGTATTAGAATCAATCTGGACAGAACAAGACCTTTGGAAGTACGTGAGGACTGCTGTTGTTTCTGCTGCTGAGCTGATGAGGGACAGAGCCACAAAAGAAGCAGATTCATTACAGGACCAACAAGACAGACTTCACAAGTCTCTGCAGTATCTTCAGGAACATGGGCAGAAAGTGTCAATTGGTCAGAAAACTCTTGTCAGTGTCCCTGAAATGCCGGAAGGGACATGTGACACTGATCCTTCTGATGATGAGTCAGACAATGAATGGGTTATGTTATCCAAACCGGAGGAGACCTCTCGCTATAGTCTGTATGGAAGCTCGATGCCGGTGAAGGATTGAGGGAGCTGGCCGTATAAGTGGCATGAAATGATCTTGTGGCTTTGCCACTTTCAGTAACGGGTGCCACATTGAAGTCACACGCACCCGAGACCCCCTAAAAGAAGCTAATGGATTCAGTGCATGGGCTCAGGCGACAACAAGCTGGACTCCGTGTAAGAATGAGTCACACCATTTCCCTTCCTTGCGCACCTTGAAACGGGCTCGCTCGTCTATCTCCTACATGTGAAGGTGTGCTCCCTCGTCATCACCAGACAACAACGGCTCCCTTGTCATCTATTGCGTCATTATCACTAAGCAGACTAGTCCTTTCTTCCTATGAAGTGGCCTGACGCTCAATAATTCAAATGTAGTAGACCATATAAACTCCACACGGCTTGATTGCCCACCACCAGCACAAACAACATACAACATACAAATAAATCCATACACTTAGCTTTGTCCTTTAATATGCCAGATAACGAAGCAGAGACCAATCAGAGCTTAGATCCATGGACCGACATGAGAACCCGACTCAGAGGTCTGGAAACGCACCTCATGTCACTCTCCATCTTCTCATTACCCCCCTGGGGTACCTAAGGCGGTCCAGAGCATACAAACCAATGCCAACAAATTGGGAACAGTTCCCTTCCCAGGCGAGGAGTTTCCTGTAGATTTTCCGGACTACTGGACTCAAAAAGATCAGGCCACCGAAATTCTTACCTTCAAGAAAGACATGCAGACACTTGTTGAATGGGCAATAGCAAAATTCCCGGACTTGAATCTGGATTGTCCCCCTGAGACTGATCTGACAGGAATGATATTTGATGATATCAGTCGGTGTATCAGTTGTCTGGATACAACATGGACGGAAGTGGACCCAAAAGAGTAGGTACAGTACCACTTTGTTGGATGTGTGCTAAGGCAAATAAGGTGTGAAAATAGGGCAAAGGCAGCTCAGGTCTCTCTAGAGCATGACTACAGAGCATATTGGGAGTCTGTTGCAAGTCAACAGGTGAGGTTCAGAGATAAAAGATTGGCTACCCTGTGGCTGATCAGCAGACAAAACAGAATGAAACCGTTGACGATGCACGGTCAGGGGATCGCCAGTCTCCTGAATAGGTCGCACACTCAGTGAGGGACCGTTGTGATGGTTGACAGTTCACCTTTGGGGACATAGGTGAGGGGAAGCGAAGCATATTCAACGACAGTAGATTGAGAAGACGAGATGATGCAGTTTTGTTCCGTGCGTGATTGTGGCTCTCTCACAGGGCCTTCAAATCTCTGTATCATGACAGGTGTGTATCAACTGACTGACTACTGGACATGGGGGAATTGAGTGTGAGAACAGTCGTGGAAGTACTTATTTCAATCTAGCTTGGTGGGATGTCCTTTTTACCAGACTACATGTATTCCTCATCTTCCTGCTTCTCTCTTATGAGACAAGTCACCGACCACGAACAAGGGATGTGGCATGTGGCGTAACAAATCTGTTACTTAATGTGTGTAAGTCATCTACACATGAACCTGTTGAAAGGAAAAGCAACAACCTTTGATTCACTCAGAAGCCCCTGCACTGCATATGTGTCAAATGACCAACTTCGAAAGTCCTCTCTCATTCATACTTCACATACATATAACTATTCATTGTGCTTTGATTTACTCTTTAACTACCATGTCCAATCCTTCCATTCCAGATCACGCGACTTTGAAGAGGTGGAAAGCAGAGTGGCGTACCATCATGGATCGAGCATCGGTGATTGAGAGTAATAAGCTGACAATTCATACTCTCTTTAGCTACCTGGAGCCGTCTGAACAGGTCTGGATGGCACTCGATACAATGAGCAAAGTTGCAACCGAACTGTTCAGTCAACGATTCAGAGAAGGGGTGATTGAACCAAACTTGCCACTATACTTGTCCAATGACCCCTCAACCCAACTGGAAGAACACTGGACTAAAGATGCTGAAATTGTTTCCGACTGGGTTCAGGAGAGCGCGTCACGCCTCGAGGAAAAATATGATGAGGAGCGGATACCTTCAACTATCAAAGAGGCAGCTTTCACAATTGCTACCGCTGCAATTGATTCTGCCACTGAGCTTCAGACGATCTGGGAGGTGACAGATCCAAATTCGTGAGTGAACCTCTGGCTGGAAGTTGCTGACAGTCAAGGATGTTGAGTAAAGCTGCGGAGAGATTAGAGCCACAGAATACAGCTGACCGTACTTTACAAGCTTATGGATCAGGATATCCCATGTTAATTTTCGAGGTCATTTTCGCTGAGGATTAGGTGATACACCCGGATCAAGACGGTCTGAATGTTGTTCACCGACCTGTCATCATCTTGACAGACCATGATGAGCGTTCTTCGAGAGGCCCCAATGTCGGTATGAGAGAATATGATGAATAGGACACGCCAGCGCATGCATGTCATCTTCTCCAGTGCATCAATATGTCTCTATAACCCCTGGCCATCTCACTCCCTTCACCTCTCCCCCACCTCTCCCCCACCTTTCCCCCTCCAACTTGTGCTTGTCATTTTACACCCGCTTATCCTGCAGCTTCTTCAACATACAAGTAGCTATGGGATAAATCTATCCGCTTTGAGCTCCGCTTGAATCCAACACATGACAATTCGATCACATCAGTAGAAGACAAGAAAGGAGCCGTGCAATTCGTCACCGTGAGACATGACAGCTGGGCACATGTGGAGTACTGCGCTTCGAACATGTTGCCATTTTTGTACATTCATCTCTCTCTCATAATCTGAAAGCTCCACACACACACACACACAATAAGGATTATGTCACATCAAGAAAATACCCTCACCCCCGAAGAAACTTCGGGACAGTCCCTAGCAGACATCATGTCTCGTGTCCGTGCAACTCTGAACAGCTACGTGACCCTTTCTTATGCCTTTGAATATGCTGATCCCCCTGAACACGTTTTCACAGCCATAGAAACCATCCGAGACCAAGTTAACAGGCTTTACAATGCTGACAATCCTGTGCTTCCAGCCTACTTCTCTGAAGAACTCCCAGCACAAGAGGAAGAACACTTTCTTCATGATGCCCAAACTGTTTCTACATGGATTCAGCAGACGTTTCCCGAGCCGGATCTGATTTCTGGTGATTTTGACCCCGCTCCGGAGTGCATTGTGGACCCCATCAGGCAATGTGCTGCCAGTTTGTGTGATCTTTGGATAGATAACACTGGGGAATGGTAGGTCTTGTCAACTTGGTACTTACATATTGGTGGATTAGCGCTGATATGTGCCAGGGCAGCCACAAAAGCCGCCAAAGAAGCTCAGTCAGTCATGGATTACTATCAAGCAATACCCCAATCTGAGGAATATTGGGAGAGCTACCCGGAGATGTTTACCACGCCAACCACAAGTGTGACGCAACAGCAGGTCTCTTACGAGCCATTTGGAGACATGAGTACTCTAGACAGGTAGACGAGTTTACCTGATTTTGAATCTCACTCACTCATCTTTGACACTGAGGTACGGAGACGCGGGTCCTATGTGGGGATGGCATCACGGTTAGCTTGAGAGATGTAGGTCAAGACAGAATGCAAGATGATAATATGATGTTCACAACTCAAGATCTCGTCCTTCTCATGTGCAATTCTTCCATTTGAACATTCCACTCCTCTTGTTTGTCCGCATGTCTTCCTCACACCCACGCTCCTTCCAGCGCCTCAATCTCCGTATCTTCCTTACTCATTCGTAATTCTTTGAGAGCAGCTTCAACTCCGACTTTTTCGACGGCCGCAACCTCGTCCAAATCCTTCTCGACCTGATCTCCGTGTACACCCAAAGATTCTTCCAATTCGTGTGGAGACGAGATGATGAGTAACTCGGTGCCCGTGTAAGAGAGGAATGCCGGAGGATTGGCAGGAATAAATCTCCTGTTTTTGAATAGCTCTTGCAGTTCGGTCGAGTACTGTTTTATCAGCCGTATCCTCATATTCCCTCCTCCATTAAGTAGTTGGGCTAGAGGGTGAGACTCACCGAAGCACGCTTTTCCTTGGGTAGACTCGCGGCGCGGGGGTTGCTACCGGCGTCGGCATTGGGATCCTTCACCTGGAGTGCGACAGCGTCCTTGAGGGCAAGTCCCAACTCTTTCTGAACTTCTCCAAACGCTTCAGCAGCAGGAGTGGTAATCTCGTAAGCCAACAGGACCTTGTAGTCCCTCTGGCGATTGTGTTCAGGGGAGTCGGCCAGGGTATCCTGCGGAGAATGCAAGATGTAATGTCCTCGAGCCGCAGGTCTAGCTGCGGGTTGATGACGAGTTCCTGTTTATCAGCATTCGGGCCAAAGTCCTCTGAAAAGGGTCCATAACGTACCGCGAGTCTTGGTATCGTAGTCGTACGCTCCAAAGGCGTCCTTGAGTGCAGACTTGTCATTTCCAACTCCGACCATAGATCCCCAAATGACTTGATGCTTGGCACCGGGGTCGGGCATCTTCTTCTTGCCCACTGAGATAATTCGATGAAAATGAGCATGATCATGAGGAGCCGAAGTGGGGATCAAGAGGATATGAAACCTATTCATTAGCTTTAGCTCCGAGTGTCTCATCAGCAAGGTAATAATCACTTGGAGACGTCGTCAATGGATTCCACCTCCTCTGCGTCCACTTTGGGACGATACATGAAGTAAATGTGTCCTGCTTCAAGAGTACCATGCTTGGGCTGCTCGTTTTCTGCTACAGGAGCCACCGATTTCTCTTTGGTAGACTCGTCGACCTCCTTTGATCGTCAGCTCACCGTCATATTTCCTCCTCGACGACGACTTACCTTGGTCTTCACCTCAGCGGGCTCTTCGACAGTGTCCTCTTTCTCTTCTTCCACGGAGTGTCCATTCTTGACCTCAACTTGCTCATGACCATTCGCAGGCTGGACTTCGGGTTGCTCCTTTGTCAAACCCACTTCGCCGTCGTCTCCAACTTCGAGTTTCTGAATACCCTTCTTGGCTTTCTTACTGGGAGAGCTCTTCTTAGTCTCAGTCTCAGCAGGCCGTTTCTCGCCAGCAGTCTGAGTACCATTCTGAGTCTTTGATCGAGTAGCTACCATATCTTGTAGTGATGTTATGAGTTGATGTTAAGAGTTGAATGGGAGTGTGGGAGATGAGGAGGGGAGAGTGCGATCGGACAATCTGGGGTATGGGTTCAACCCCGAAAGCGGGGCTCCTCACTTTTTGAAAGGATCTATGACGCAAGACCGAGAAACCCAAAATGGCATCTTTTTACCTGCTTTACGTAATCTTTTACCCCTTGGCAAAACACCGCGTGTGATTTTTGTTTTTGTGCTCACCTTGCACCATACACTACACTTATCCCTTTCTTGCATACGTGCATACTCTACACCATATCCTTATCAGCCTTCTGTACCTATTCATAGACCGAGGAGGATCACGCAAGATGTTAGATGGGATTTCTAATCAATGGGATATCCAGGATATGCCCGAAACACCGGGGCCTATCCGAGCGAGGGTGAACAATCTTCACAATCAAGTGACAGAATTGGTCCGGAAAGAGCATGCCGCAAGTGTACGTACAGATCGAGTCATCCGCTCCCTCTGTGTGCCTCTATCTTCCATCAATCTATTCCCAAGCCTTCCTTCCGATCAGTAATCTCACACTGACTGGACCGCAGCAGCGTTCAAGTATCAAAGGTTGACTGGATCTGACGCATCAGAGAAAACACCGTTCAGAGATGTCCTCTTTGGAGTCCACTCTGGCGGATGTCAAGTCGAAACTTCTGACAACTCAAAAGGAACTCGCGAGGTGTAAGAGTGAAGGTGACGTGATGAGAGACGAGGTGAGCGTCTTCTTCCCTAACACTTCAACCCTGGTCTACAGCCTGGGAGACCTGGTGCAGTTCTCCCTGGCAGAATGGCTGACGCTTCAGCTCAACGCTCATTCCCTGGTCCAACAGCGAAAAGCATGTCTCGCCCTTGCGGAGGAACAAATGCGAGTTGTCGAACTTGAACAACGGCTCAATCAAGCTGAACAAGCCCGAGGTATGTTACATGACTCCCATGCCCACAATTTGGCTGACGATAGTCATGAGGGACCACAAACTAACCTTGTTCAAGGCGCGAGAAGAAGATGCTGCTGCGTTACTGGCAGAACGAAATGCCGAGATGGAAGAAGTAGAGGTGAGTCACTCATGGTCTATGATCTGTCCCTTCAATGCTTATACACAGGCTGCACTAGCACGTGCTAATACGTCGTTAGCCCACCAGCGTGCCGGGGACAAAAAGTCTGCGACAGAGATGACGATGCTTTTGGAACAATTGAAGAATTCCGAAAATATGATACGGGGTGTGAGAGAGAGGGAGAAAGAGGCTCGTGATGAGCTTGATAATTGGTTACGGGAAGAAAAGGACAAGGAGGGAAGCACGGACAAGGAGAGAAGAGACTTGCAACTTCAACTGCGCAAAGCGCAGACGGAGCTACAAAGGAAAGCCGAGGAAGTTCAGGACGTTCAAGATGAGCTGGCTACTCTGAGGGAGAGTGCGAGAGAGAGGGAAAAAGCTCTTAAGACCAAGTTGAAAGAAGCATTGGAAGAGAAAGCCAGATTGGCAGGTGTCGAAGTGAGTCTCTGATCCCCCTTCGGAATGCCTTATCAGAACATGATCTAACTATGTAGGAAGAATTGGAAGCTCTTAGAGCTACCACGTCTGCTCCGCCTCCGAGGAAACCAAAAGCTCCAAGACTGGAAGTCAGTGAGAGTGTTCCGCCAGAGGATCAACCCGCTCCTGTGTCTCGTCGGGGAAGTCCAAGAAAACCGACAGCCAAATCTCATCCGGCTAAGTCGAAAAGTCTGAATGTCAGTATTCGCATTTCTTTTGAGGCTGAACTAATCTTCTAGACAAACACGGCCGATGAGCATTCAGACGGAGAGGTTATACCTCCCAAGAAGTCTCGTCAACCAGTGCCATCCGTCCAATCCGACTCTGAAGACTATGCGGAGGCTAGAGCCAAGAAACCTACCACCACCAAGAAGGCCAAGGAGATCAAAGCGCCCTTGACGGAGACTGCAGACAGCGTAGCAAATAAACGAAAGTCTGCCAGTCCCATCAAGAATAAAGAAAAGGAAAAGGAGAAGGAAGCGGAAAAGGAGATTGGGAAGGGAGCCGCTGAACCGGAAAAGAAAAAGAAACGCAAGTTATTTGCTTCACAGCCTGCCTTTGCTTGGGACAGTGTGATGAGCGTGAGTGTTATATCCATCTTTCCACCCGTCTCTCTCATTCGAGGTTTTAAGGATTGGAGGAATAGTCTTTTCGCCAGCCATTGTCTTCGCCCTACAGAATGAACAATCCCATGATATCTTACCGCATTGTCCATGATCCCTTCATTCTCGTCCCCTCGGACACTATAATGTCTGTCGGTACGATACTTATGAGAAATACCATTGAAGGAGATGCAAACTCCCGCACCCTCGAGTGTGTATGTAACCGAAGGGAGCCAAAGGGACGCATGTTGACGAACAGAGCGGAGATGGGATCATACCGGGTGCTTTGTCACCTATCAAACCTCCCACAGGAAAGACAGGTACCATTCCTCGTCTTGGTTTCCCAAGTCTACCGAGTAGCCGTCTCAATCGGATTTAGTCTTAATATTTCTTGAACTTCCCTTGCCCTTCTCAGCAGGCAAATGATAGATTCCAATCCCGATATCGCCAGCCGCATAATCGTCCCTTCTTCTCTTCCCCTTTGAACGATCTTGGGCATTTTGGTTCTCCTACGTACTTGCTATGCAATGCAATGAATTTTACACTTCTACAAATGTTGTCTTCCTTCTACATATTCGAAAGTCACAATCAGATGCCCTACAATTCCCTAGACTCTAGCGAATATATAATGCAGACCTGTTCAAGTGTCAATCCCGGAATTTATACTTCTCCCTCAATTGTCTTCCCCATATGAACATCTTTCCGTCAGTCTTCACTCGACACTCATTGAATGTCGGTGGGGACTTACGAGAGCGGGTGCTGGTACGGCTATCAATGCAACACAAGCGAGTAATGTAGCTCCGTAACCCCAACCGAGGTTGTAGAATAGATCAGGACTAAAAATGGGTAATACGCAAGCTATCACGGATCGCATCTACCAGTCAGCATCTTCCTTGACACAGTATCTGCTTGGAGATAATCATCACTTTGAGACGAAATTATGTTGGTGGTGGAGATGAGAAACTGACCGCTGTAGCGGCAGCTATGCCCGCTGCGGAGAAAGGGAAGAAAGCGTCTACTATACTGTCCGTCAGCGGCATTTCATTTGAATCTGCTTAGCGAAGACACACATGCCAATTGGAGTACACCGAGGGGGAGGGGGAGGGGGAGGGAGAGAGGGGAGGAGATTGGGGATAGACAGGCAGGAAGGAAGGAGGCAAAAAAAATGGACCGACAAGTTCTGAATAGAGTTAAAAGCCATCATCAACCCCAAGGCAATTAAGCATTGCCCGATTTGAGGTGCGATCCAATGTACTTCAGCATGTGCTGTCCATCCCTATGAGTCAGCTATAATATTTACTTCTGTAGCGTTCCACATAGACATTGGTAGAAATCTTGATCCAGCTTTGGAAAGAATTTGAGATCAAGTGGTAGGAATATGTAAGTATATTTGAACAAGGAGAGTGACAGAAGAAAGAGAAAATGACGTACAAAGATGAAAAGACCAATAGGAAGGATGATCATACCCGTTTGAGTGAGAACCAATCGGTATTCAGGTTGACCACCAATACCATTTTTCTTACTGAGATATTTATATATCCTATCTTGAGCGTTGGAGGCAACTACTACAGCTATGGCAAATCCCACCGCTGATTGTCAGTCCAAACTTTTCATATAACCCATGACAATACCACTCTGTCATCGAACGTGTCGCTCGTAGACTACATACATCTTGATCAGGTAAGCTGAGGGGGAAAGTTGAAAAGTCAGTTTCGACAAATATCATAGATCGTAAGGGATAAATGTGAAGACGAGGGGGGAATAGTAGAAAAAAATGGACTGACCTAAACCAAGGTAAGCAAGGGAGAGTGTATACTGAGGCCATTGATATGAAAATAACCCTGGACGAGAGAAAGGCGGAGAGCCATATAATAATGGTACGGAGACTAAAAAGACATATATGATAGCTGATTATCAGCCACGATCTCATCAACCTCTTTCTCGTAGAAGAGCAGATGTAGAGGACGAGTGGGTCGACTGACCATAGATATAAGCGTAATAAGCCGAAAAGATAAAACAAACAGGATTTCCAAATAATAATCTTGGAGGTCGGGAAAAAGCACGACCAAAAACGGTCTTAGCATCTTGTCGAGAAACCATCTCTCTCATCCATCCAAGATCATGTATGATTCTTATAGGTGATAGTTTTTCTCCCCATGTTTTGGGATCCGAAAGAGGATGTTGTATCCGATATCGAAGTACTTTTTCGATAGCCCTACTCATCAGTGTCTTTCATTACTTTCATTTCCCTTAATTCGGTGAGATACCACCAAAGTGTCAATGATAAGCATGGATGACGAGGGAAAGGAGCGGATGATGTTGAGGATCAGTTTTCAGAGGAAGGAAAGAGAGTTACTGAACCACTCACGGAGCATAAGTCTCTTCAGCAAATAATATTAACAAAACGTAATTGGCAGCTGCCAAAATGGTTATCGTCCCATATAACCATCTCCAACTTCCGTACAAGATCCAATATCCTAGAATACTTCCTAGCACAGGACCTGCCATTGGACCTATCGCATAGATCGAGATAGGTCTTCCTCTTTCGGATGGAATCCAGATATCTGCGCAAGTAGCTACACCTAATGCTGGACCTGAAGAACCCGTCACACCGCAGAGACTATGGTCAGCGATGCCGCCTCCTTCTCTAGTTTCACCAACACAATAAATATGAGCACACCATTTAGGAGGAGTTGGTTTATGTGAAGACGGAAGATTTCACCTACAATCGGAGTATGAGAAGACCTGCCATACTGTTCATCAGTATTTCTCATACGGCGCCATAGAACCAGACATGCAAACAGAGTGATGATTGTGGGTCATGTTGTATTATGAATTAGGACGGTTTTTAGACGTACTTTGGAGCTAAAGCCGCACCCAGACAAAAGAAAACATAAAGGAATTGAGAAGTTTGATAAGCCGTCTGACGACCATACAGTTCTGAAATGGGAGCGAAGATGAAAGGTCCTGCTCTAATTTATCAGCCTGTCCCTTCTTCAAATATTCAATTCCAAACATCATACCCCTCAAGTGTCAGTACCAGCCTCTGGATTGAAGTTTGAGAACAAGCTTGAGAAGATGGTCAATCCAAAATCTCTGACAGTGCACTTGAAAGGGACGAGCTTGACCGAGTAAAACAGGTTGACGAGAGTAAGAACAATAAATGACAAATAAAAGCAAAGGAGTCAGAGAGAGATAAATGAACGATTCACTCACCCTAATCCTAAAACATAATAAGTTGTTACCCCAACTCCAATCTTCAAATTCTTTTCACCAAAATCATCCATAGCTCCATGTATACCAGGAACACCGATACTACTTCCACAAGTTGAAATAAACCCCGTCAAAGCAACTAACATTGTCATCCTCCATTTTTTCTTTCTTGGCCAATTGAGTGGATTGGCAGGATGAGTAGGGAATGTTGATAATGCTTCTGCTGCCACTCGAGCTGATCGGGTGGAAAGAGTTGTAGTGGTCGTTTGTAATGCAGGGAAAGGGGGTCGGACTTGATCGTCAGGCTTATCCGAAGGATAATGGGTTTCTTCAGGTTTGGTATGCGATGTTGTTGTTTGGTTTAGGAAGTTTGTTGGGTTCTTCAAGGGTAGAGCTTTTTCAGGATCGAGGGTGGGGGTAGGGGTGGAGGGAGATGAAGGTGAAGGTGAAGGAATGGGTTTCATCGGAATTGACGTCGATCCAGGTTTGCTCATCTCTTCCAATGGGCCTGAGATTTCATCGAGTTGAATATCAAAGAGATATAAGCGACGTTCTTCTCCGCATGCTAAGATGCTGGATTGTGTTCAAAAGTGTGAAAGAAGGCAAGAGAGTGAGATGCTTCTTTTTCCTCAAACTGTGTTGGATATTTCAAGAAAAGTCGGAATCGGGAATCTCCGGTTATCTCGTGCCTGTAAACTTCGGCATCTTCGGCCGTCGTGTGACCCTCTCTACCCACACCTGCTCGCACTCGTACTCATACCTACGAGGAGGAACATGCAGCATGTAGCAAACAGCATCGACCTCATCCAAGAAGGCTTTGAAAAGACAAATGAATACATCACACTTCCCAATCCCTAGCATCCTCATTCTCCTTGATAAACCCCTTATCTAGATTAACCACCGCCCCTTCACACAGAGGACAAACAGCAGCAACTATCCCATCCAACTCTTTTCTCGCCGCTTCAGACTTTTCCTCTTCCCTCTCCCTATCTTTCCTCGTTTTACCCTTCTTCCCAACATTTCCGCCGACTCCCGGTATAGAAGTGAATCCCGCACTGACGGCTTGAGCCAAAGCATCAGGTATGATGAGTTCTCTCAATTTGTCACCAGCAGCGAGAAGTTGATTACGACCCGTGAGACCCAATAGAGCGTCGGTGGCAGCGGACCCAGAAGTGATCTCCCTAGAACGTAGGGATTCTTTTCCTTTACGAGAAGGTGTCTCTGGACGGGAACCGTTGGGAGTGAAATTTGAAGAGAGAAGAGTACGATTGGAAATGTCGGATTGGATGAGTTCGTTTTGGAGGTGTAAGATACGACGTAGACTTGGAGCAGGTAGGTATTCCATTGCCTGGGGTAATCAGTTCATTTTCCAATCATGATGAGGATATATGAAGAATTTGATAAGTGACGACTTCAGAGATGTGGACCTGTGATGGAAGAACCGTGCAGCTCACCATGGAGATAAGACAGTCCGCGTGGAAACCATGTTGACATGGAAAGACATAAAACTGTCTGCTGACCAAACCAAGTCCACACTTCCCACATTTATCTCCAGCGTCAATGGTGACGAACCGCCCAGACAGACCGTCAATGTCCTTTCTGATAGCCTCTGCACTTTGTGTAGCTTCGTCCATCTCTGATCGAAGGGCATCAATCTTCGCAGAGTACTCTTCCAATGCAGCACAGATCTCGGACTTGAAGTCATCTATTACCGAAAAGTCAGGGAAGAAGGGAAGGATATCTTCGATTTTGATCAAATCGGTCGCTTCGAGAAATTTCATTGCACTATTGATCAGTATAGTTTCCGGGCCGTGAGCAGAAGAGATAAAGTTGACTCGACTCACCTCTTGATATCCCGCTGTTCTTGAACGACATATCTCGCAATCTTCAACCACAATTTCCTTCTCAACCCCTCATCATCCTCCGGCCTATCCGCATTGATTTTTGCCAACTCCAAATCACCTTTGCTTAAAGCAAGATCGACACTATTCTCATACAAGCCCATTTTGGAATAAATCAACACGCATGGTTCCACACGGTTATTCTGCTTGCAAAGTCTCAAAGCATAGTCTAAATCGTAGTATGGCTTTTCTGTCAAAGGATCATCCGGACAAGCCATGAGGAACCGTAATAAAGGACCCGAATCGGGGTCTGGATGAGTAGCGAACCGAGTGATGAGAAGGTTGTAAATTATGGTATCTGTCAGATGTTGTTGGTGTATCAAATGTAGGAGGTATCGAATTGTATGATCCGCCGCAACGGGGGGAGGGGGTGAAGAGTATTGCAATAATGCGGGAATGAGACGACGAGGGGAGAGTACAGGTTGTCGAATAAACGCGTCGACAGTTTCCTTAGGTCTGAAACGCATGAGGATGGAAGCGAAACGATAGTACAGCTCGACAGATGTCTGTCATCAACTTTTGCAACTCAGTCACCCGTTTGCTCTCCCGCAACAACGACAGTGATGTGCGAGAGGGGGCTTTTCGAATTTGACACTCACTTGTCGGTTCAACACATCGATAGCTTTCAGCCAATCTTCCTCATCAACCCAATGTTCCACCACCCTTTCATGATCTTTCTTCAAGTCGGCATAGAAAAGATACAGATCAGTCCGACCATGACTCAAAATGAGTTCGTAGACAACTTTCGGCTCCAAGTCATTCTTTCCATGAGCCCGGTCAATGAACACACCACGGGACGTACCAAGTAAGTACTAATGAAGTTTCTCATGTCTTCTTCCATCATCTGCCTCTCGATTTTCAAACTTTCCACATCTGATGTGGCCGATTCCGCAGCAACGATATCCTCTAACGTATTACATTTGCTCAGATAAATCTCGATCAGCCAAGTGGCAAGCATCATACGTTGCGTGCGATCCTGTCACATCAGCTCTGGTCAACGTGGGTAAAACAGCTGACCTTTTTGTCTAGACGGTCCAAACAGTCTGAGAGATAGACACGGAGGGCATCCCGTTCATCGGCGTCGACAAACCTGAGAGCGACGAATTCGAAGTTTCGGCTACTCTTGGCATATGACTGTGCGGCTTGAATATAGCGTCCTTGCTCAAATTGATAGTCCCCTTGACGAGACAGGACAATGTCTTTCTGTGCTGGAGTCTGCGTCTCAGTCACGTTGCAATCTTTCATAGAAGTCAGCAACGCACCCGAGCATATCGTAGAGCTTCCACAAAGTCACTCTTCTCCACCTTTGCCCGCCAAACATCACGATCTTCGTTGCTGACCAATACCTCAAGGATGGCGCGGTCTGTAAAGATCCAGAAAGTCTTAGAAACGGGATCGGAAGACAAACCGGTCGCCCGCTCATCCACGGCCTGTTTCGTGAGCTGAAGCACATAACCAATGTGACGACTGACCAGAGGAAGATTCTCCTCCCATACCTGCTTCTCACTCTCTCGACTGATCCCTACAATTCGAGTCGGGTACAGCAGCAACCAGTGCCATTGCGTGATCGAGACCGATATAGGTACCGGAGGTAATCGAGGCGTAGTGGATACTGCAGTGCGGCTGAATGGAGGAGGCGTAGACTCGTCTGAAAGGGGGTACGGAAGTAGAGAAGGTTTGGGCAGGATGTCCCCTCCCGAGGACGCTGCTATTGGGGAGGCATACAGACCAGGAGCTTGATTGAGGTCAGCTTAGGTAAAAAAGAGTTTTTGGGTCATGGACTCACCAGTAAGCCACGCGAGGGCGGACGGTGCAGGAAGTGATGCAGCATTTTGTCCGTCAACTACTGGAAGATAGACTTTCAGCTCTGAGTTTGGAGGTTGTCCAGGAAGCTCCTGAAATTCTGGTTTCTGTCAGATAGTGTGCGCTAAGAAGGTGGAGACTTACTGGGAGCACCCTCTCGAGCAGGTTTGAAGACCTCCTCTACCCAACCTCCACCCTTTCCACCGGCCACTGTACTACTCACATCTCCTTGTACTTCGTACATTCTTTCATTTGTGGTAATTACGACCCAGGCACGTCTTTTACCTCCCTTGCTCGCTGCTGGCCAGAACCCGAAAGCCACTCCAGTGACAGGCTGTGGATCGGGAAGAGTGTACACCGTCTGCATATCCCTTTCCAGGGGCTTAGACATACCGATAGCGACCGATTTGAAGATATCATCCTGTGGTGGGAGTGGTAGAGACAATATTTGACCTGTGGTCGTACCCAATAAGACGTCCGTAGCTGGAGGAGTTACAGTGTCACCTTTAGAAGCCTGGTTGTCTCCTTCCGCGGCGGTTCCAGACACGGGAGACCATCCAACTGCAGTGATGGCTGCTCGGAGACGTAATGGTCTGGGGCGTCTCGATTGAACAGCAGGATTCCCAGGGCTCAAAGGTAGATAGAAAGCATCTCCCGTGGTAGTGGTGATAATCAGATGTCTTGCCGCAGGATCCACAAATAACCGGTGTATGACTGGACCATCTTTCGTTTGAGGGTTCGGAGAACCTTTATCTGGAGCAGGACGAGGAAGAAGGATGGTGAGAAGATCTTCAGGCTTGTTCAAGTCGATTATGACGATGGAAAGAGGGTTTGTGGCGAGGAACAAGTGATTGTTGGAGCTGACTAGATGAAGTATTGCAGAAGGAGGGGAATATTGAACGAGTGAGAGAGCGAATAGAGGTGAGAGGGAGGGATCATTTCGAGAAGAAGGAATGAACCCGGTTTCTAGCTAGAACATGAGTACGAGTTTACACGACTGGTTCCTTACAGGGAGAAAGGGTTGTCGAAACTCACAGCGGTGACAAGGGAGGTATCTCCTTCTATACTGTCCTCCGAAAGATCAGGTTCAAAGCCTTCGTATTCGACAGCATCGATGCCATACTCCCCGCCGACAGGTACAGGTGCCCTGTATGCTCCAGAGGAATGACGAGGGAGTGAAGGGCCAGCCGAATGCTCGACAACTACTTCAGTCAGCTGATACTACTTCTACACCCTTATTCGACTGGAAGTGACGAAGATCATTACGCCAAATACTTACAGTCATCGAGCATAGACATGGTCCTCTTGCAGCATGCAACATCTATCGAGCGTCAGCGAGACGGTTCCTAGGCTGTTACGTTAGGCGCGTCATATTTCCAAATTCAACCGCTGCACGCCTAGCCTGCATGGTTGCTGCCTCGGCGCTGCCCGGTCCGAAGACGCCATTTGGAGAGAATCGTTATCCGTATCGGAGAAGCATTACGAGTGGTTCAAATACCATGGGGTCTTCGGGCAAGTCATGTCATCTGACATTAAACATCTACACTTCACTCGGCAGAGAAGAAAGGATGAACCATGGCGGATGTCATCAACGACGAGGAGGCGTTGAGAATCGAATATGACGAGCAAGATGATTCACCAATCCATTCCAGACAGCTCGGACATGGTCATGCGGGGGAACAGACTTCCGTTCTCCAAGAAGAGGAAACTCAAGAGGCTCCTCAATCACCTGCGACACCGTTTCCGGAACTCAAACATGAAGCGACTCGTCTTACGATAACGAGCGAGCGGTCTTACTCCAGTTTTAGCAGTGAGGAGAAATGGGTCATCGTATCTCTTGGAGCGTTGGCGAGTTTGTTCTCGTGAGTCATGATTACTTCTTTGCTCACTCGTGATGCAGAAAGCTACACTCCCACCATTAGTACCAACATATTGCATGCAGGTTGTGTAGGACGACGTCATGCTGACCACTCAGACCCATATCAACCAACATATACGTCCCAGCTATCCCCACGCTGGTTGAAGAATTTCAGGTTTCGTCTGAAAAGATCAGTTTGACGGTCACCATCTTCCTGTCAGTTCTTTCTCATCCACTTAAACCAATCAACTGACCTTGAGGATCTTCCAAGCTGTCACGCCTGCATTTTGGGGCACAGCTGCCGATTCGTTCGGCCGTCGGTGAGTGAAAGCAGCTTCATACAATAACGGACGTCCTGCTGAATCTTAGCCCCGTTTACTTCATCACTCTATTGATATTTACTCTTGCCTGCGTTGGTACGGCTCTATGTCCAACGAGGGATTATTGGCTTTTGATGCTCATGCGAATCCTTCAAGTGAGATTTTCTCTCGTCGCTCATAGCATTGAGCTCATCACAGGCCACTGGCGGGTCTGCTACAGTCGCCATCGGTACCGGTGTCATTTCAGACGTTTCTATGCCTCAAGAACGAGGCAAGTACATTGGAGTGTATAATTTTGCCGGAACGTTCAGCATGGCCCGTGCGTTCTCCTAACTCCTGTAGTTCGGTTGTTGACGTGATAGTGGGTCCTGTACTCGGTGGGGTCTTCTCGGGCACTTTAGGTTGGAGGAGTATCTTCTGGTTCCTTGTTATTTCATGCTCTGTTGTTCTTGTCCCTCTCATCCTGTGAGCTGCTGCATGCTGCATAGTCCAAGTCGGACAGTGCTGACATGCAGCTTCTTACCTGAGACATTACGGTCGTTAGTCGGAGATGGGTCAATACCTCCCCCTCTGATCAATTGCACACCGGCTCAACTTATCAAACGAAAACGACATTTGAGAGATATGCACGAAAGAGGAGAAGCTGTAGTAGATCTGACACGTCATCGAGTAGCCGTAGGTTGTCTTTTGGATTTGACATTTACGACATTGACTGAATAGTTCAAACCATGGGTCCCATTCACCCTGTTATTCCAACCTGTGGTATTGTTGCTCTTCGCTTGGACTTCACTCTATTATGCAGAATGGTATGCCGTTCTGTACGTCTCTCTCCTTCTTGATCCTTGCGAGCTAACATCTCAGGACCGTCTTCTCCACCATCCTCGAGGACGTCTACGGATTGAACGACATCCAAATTGGTCTTTGTTACATGTCAGTGCATCTCTGCATAGGGCGTCAAATGAAGCCCGCTGATGAGCAAGTGCAAATGGTGTGGGTGTAGGCGCCTCTGCCTTTGTCTGCGGAAGAGTCATGGATCGCATCTACCGCAAAGAGAAAGCACGAGTAGGCGGTGATCATCGAATGAAACCTGAGGAATTCCGTCTGGAGCAAATCCGGTTTAGAATGTACCCCTATCAAATCGCGTGAGCGGGTGACTATCGTCCTATCGATCCAGCTCATCTTTAGTCTATTCATCATCAGTTGTATCTCGTTCGGATGGACCATAGCTGCTCATACCCATATCGCCGCGCCGATCATCTTCACCTTCTGTATCGGGACGGGAGTCAGTCTGATGACGACCAGTACGTCCCTTACCTCTCGTTGTGTGCATTTGCTGACCCAAAGCTACCATTTACAACCTAGACATCTTTGGCGATCAAGGAGGAGCCATCACTGCCAGTGTGAGTGACAATCCTCATGACTCACAATTGAGCTGAAACCCAAGTTCAATCTTCTCCGTTGTCTCATGGGCGCAGGCGCTTCTGCGGTGGTGCAGCTCATCAACAATTCAGTCGGATCCGGATGGACATTTGTCATCTTATCTGGTGTATGTCTCGCAGGGTCCCCATTACCAATCATCGCGTATAAAAACGGTCCCAAGTGGAGACGGAGAATGCGAGAGAAAGCAAAGGAGGAGAAAGAGAAGCGACGTGTGGGTGACAAGGAAAAGGCGAAAGAGGTGAGACGAGACGGATTAGTCCCTTCTGGGCGATGACATCTGGCTCACACGCTCCGTGACCATGACCGTGACATTGACTGGGGTAACGTTACCACAAAAGAAGAGATGTCATAGTGGCATGCAGTGTGTGGCGATCGACCGTATAACGATACAGGCGGCCCGAGCGCTTACACCCTTCCCCCATCGTTCGCCACTATCCTTCATCACTTCTCTCCATCTTCCATACTCACCTCCTCACATACTTGACTCTTGACCTCTTGACAACTTTCTTTTCATTCAGCTTGGAGGCTCGGTGAGTACCATTCACACTCGTCGAACGTGGAAAGGTGTTTCGTCTTGGTGTATACTTCCTTCCCCTTGACGTCTGACCTCCTCTTCACCTGGAGTAGGGGGAAGGGTGGGACAATGGGCACAGAGCCAACTCCACGAAGCTTGTTGAAGAAGGTTGGTCAGTGGGACCTGGGAAAGACACTTGGTCGAGGAGCATATGGTCAGTGCATCATCATTCTTCTTCTCCTCCTCTTTTTCTCTGGTTTACTCCATACTCTCTTCAGCCATGATGAAACCAAGGAGCATTGAGAAGGATGTGGCTGACCATCCAAGCTCATGTCCGCCTTGCAACTCATTCTTCCGGACACAAAGCTGCCTGCAAGATTCTCCCCGCCTTACATCGTCTTCGTGATCGAGCGGTGACATGGGATGAAACCGTCGATGCCATCGAAGCGCACAAAGAAGTCGTTCTCCTCAAAGCATTATGGGGCGCTGGTCTTAGAGGTGTTGTGGGTTTAGAGAGTGTGGTTCAAGAAGGCGGCTGGACGTAAGCTTACGGGGATCTCTTCCACTTGCTGAGCTGACAAGTAGATATGTCTTCCTCACTCTTTATCCATGCTCTGCCTCTTCACTCCGTGTCCCTTGGCCTCGAAATAAACTCGTTCCTTTCTTCCGACACTTATGTCATACCGTCGCTTGTCTACACTCTCTCAACATCAGTCACGAGGATATAAAACGATCCAACGTTCTTGTCACTACTGGTGGGGAGCCCCGATTGGTAGATTTTGGATTTAGTCATTTCAAACCCTTTGGGGGAGCTGTCAAAAGTGCAGGAGGAACGTTGGATTATTCCAGTCCTGAGAAAGCTAAAGTATGTCATCTTTATTTTCCATTCCTTTGTTCCATCTTTCAGACTGTCTGAGTTTCTAAAACTTCGATCTCAATGCTGAGAGCAGGATGTGTTATATGATCCCCAAGCGAGCGACGTCTGGGCATTAGGAATATTATTGACCAAGATGCTTCATGTTCCTCATCCTTACGCCGACTATCGATGTGAAGAAAGTAGCGGACATCTAAAAGCGAATATTATTCATGGGTATGCCGAGTTTCATTGGGAAGACAATGACAGGATTTCTGGTCTGGCAAATTTAGTGGAAGGCATGCTGGCACGAGATCCTTCCAAAAGGTTGACTGTGAGCTAATTCTTCTTTCTGCGATGGTAGCTAACCGTTAGCTGGATCAGGTCTTGGAACATCCATATCTTCACACACGTACCTCTGACCCGCCATCTTTCAAACTACCTTCAGCCGACAAGGCTCCTCTAGTCCCCCCTCATGTACTCGACAGCATCGTCGAAGACCTTTGTTTCCTTCAATATCTCGATGGAAGATTTGCCCTTTGTCAGACGGATATAATGGTACGAAGCACTCTTGTCGGTGATCGCCCATGTTGGGAGAAAATGTGGGCAGGTATGTTAGGGAAGTGGTGTATGAGGAATGAACTTGAATGGGAGGATATCCCACCAATCAAACCAAAACCCATCTCAACTCGTGCATCGTCTTTACCCGCCATCCGACTTCTAAGTGATACACTCACCAGCATGACCACTCAAATCCCTAAACCAGCAAGGAAACAACCGGTTCCAGGTGTTTTGCGAGAGATTCATCTGACCCCGAATGTGAGTTTTTAGTTTTCGATTTGTGCCGCAGCTGATCCGTGCGCAGATCCAGGCGAAAGGTGCAGACAATGAGAAGATTACAAAGATTAAAGGCAAAGCAACTCGGAATATCACAACCACCACAATATCTCCCGTCGAAGCAACTGACTCTATAGGAAAGAAGGAGATACCTCATACTGCCACTTCTACCATCGTCCAGTCCGGTTCCCATCTTCCCACGTCTAAAGAAAGAGGTTTGATCAGGGGTATGAAGAAAAAGGGAGATATGGACTCCACCGCTGGTGAGGTCGCTTCAGTCACTTTGAAAGCAAGAGAACCTCGTGCCATTGCTGCGAGAACTACAGTCACCGTCAAACGGATGGTATCACCAAAGACTAAGGGGATCAAAGGGAAGACGACTGTTCCTGTCCGCGTGACTAATGCCGCTACTGTCAAATTGACAATCAAGCCGATGGTCGGTGGGCAATTGTCGGGAGAGGTAAAGCCGAGTCAGGTGGAGACGGGGAAAGTCGCCACCGCGATGGGAGGTGGAAAGGCTGGCAATAGACGTCAAGCAGACCTCGGGAAGATGACGAGTAGTTCTCAAGTGACTGAACAGAGTAGGACAAGAGTAGCAGGAAGAGAAGAATTTACTTTTGTTCATCCTGCAAGTGAGCATACTGCCAGGTGAGGACTTGTCTTGTCCATATTATACAGTCCAAACTGAGAGATAGAGAAGGTCCAAGCTCGTCTCTCACTTCCGTCACGTGCAGTGGTCTCAATAGTATGGTTTCAAATTGTAAAAAGAAGTGACTTGCTGACATTTGAGAAGATATGACATTGTCTAAAACTAAGATGAACCCTTCCCAACCTCCTCGTCGATCAGCTCGTCTCAAGATTCAACATACCTCGTAAACAAAGTGTCAGATTCCAATTCTCATCCCCATGTTGTAATTGTAAATGACACACACACTCTCTCTCATTCATACACTTACAGAGACACCTTTATATGTTACAAGATAAAACAACATGCATTATAATGTTTATGAGTTTTGATGACAGATGATTTCATCCAGTTGCTGGTGATACACTTAAAACAGGTAACAGAGGTGAGGAGTGTTTCTCGTCATAGTCATAAACCTTTCCGTTCATATCCTTATCATCTGAAATGGTAGAAACGCTCATTCCGCTTTTCCTAGGTTGATATATCTTGCCATTGGGTGTACTCTTTTCCATCTCTTTCTCACGTTTGATTTTGGTTTCTATATTTGAGGACTGAGAAGGATAGAATACATCGCGGAATTCTTGATCGATGAAGATTCTCGACTGTTCGCTGATCCCGAGCTGGTTCATCAGCACTGTAGATCTTACTACGGATCCTGATTGACCAAGGAAGGTTGGTAGAGAGTATATATGCAGAGTCGAGGACTTTGATAGAGGATTGATGAAGGGTACACTGAGTTTGTTAAGGATCAGAGATGATTCCTTGACCTGTATTGAAAGATGAGAGAAGACATACCAAAGTATCTTGTTTTAATATATTCCTCATTCCTTCCTCTTCGTCCGCCAATTCGACAGGCCAACCAAAAAGTAACATTACTCTTCTAACCGCCTTTCTCGCTTCTCTCATCAATACCTCGTGATTCAAAGTCATCCTCGATGCTTCCTTTGTCGGATCCTTCCTCATCTTCTCATCAGTGTCAGATTCAGATGTTATTGGTTGTGATAAAAGATGTATTATAGCACCTCCTTTTCCTCCTTCCGGTCGAACAGGAGTAGGAGTAGAAGAAGGGAATCTATACATCAAATTCAATCCTACACCATTTTCTGTCGTTCCTAAACTTTGATTTGTAAATCGATTGAATGGTTCGAGGGGAGGACGAGAAACGCGCCTGGTTGATAGTTCAGTGAATGATGGTCTGGATGATGAAACTTGACGTGAATGTGATCCCAGTATAGGTGTCAAATGTTGACTTGGTACACGTGTATGTGATGGTATACGTAATGTATCTGTCCCTATATTATCTAAAATTGGACTGGGGGTTTCTTGTTCTTTTGTATGTGAAATGGAAGAAGATGGCATTCTGAGATGATGAATAGCAGAAGATGTTCTAGAATGAAGTCTAGCTCTATATGTTGAATGAGAGAAAGAAGGTAAACGGGAATGTAAACCTTCTCCAGGTGAAGAAACTCTAGAATGAACTTCTGTATCATGTATAGAGACCAAAGCGTCTTGTATACGATTACGAAGATGGATGAGTAGAGGAGAATAAGAGATTGTGAGGATTTCAAATATTGTCCATGCTAAATAATCCACTACTCGAAGGGAAGTTTGTAGGCTGGTAGATTCGATGAATTCTGCTTTTGCTTCTTTGACATTTCGAAGTATATAATCGGAAATATACAACCATAATCCTTTGATTTGTGATATAGCTTCTGGGGCACGTAAAAGGGCGATCTTGAGTATTTGAAACGATAGAATCACTTTAGCTGATGTTTCTCTGATATCCTCGGTGGTTGGGGAAAGTGACGGTTTGGAAGAAGGATGAGGAATGATGAACCTTAATATTCGGATCCATATTCCACAATAAACCGATTCACGTTCAAGATCATCTGGTTTTTCCAGACGAAGACATAAAGGGAGTATCACGGCAGCCAGAAAGTTGGCATTCGGTGAATGTCGTTCGATAGCACCGATAGCGTCGCCACGTAGGAATATAGAAGAGATAAAGAGAGAGACCGCACTGCGACGTAATGGAACGACGAAAATCATTCTATCTTCTGATGCCGAAGCGAGTAATCGAATTGATGGATAAACATAATTGTCGATAATTGTATTTGCCAGATCTCGGTCAAGATTGTATTTCGAACGTTCTATAAGATCGGTGATGGAATCCAGAAGACCTGAAAAGTCTACAACAGCGACAAACATTCGGAACATAGGGGCGATATCACGAAGAAAAGTAATTGGTCGATTGGACGTCAGATGAGTTTTGGCAAGTTCGCGTAATATAGACGCCGCTGCTGGTCCGACCGATTGAGGGGATTTAGACAATAGATCAAGTACCATATCTAACGTTCGTTTTGTCGCTTTAGCTTCCAGAGATCCACCAGCTTTAGCAAATGATTCAATTAACATGACATATTCCAATTTGGCTTTCATCCAATCGAGGTTGGCGTTATCTTCACCAGGATGAAATGCTTGAATTGCAGTCTCGTCCCCAATACGATTTTTAGCTATCACAGTCCCTAAAGCCTCCACAGCTTCTCGAGTGAGCTCTTTGCTTGGGGAGTCGGAGATATGAGGAATGATGGCAGAGAAAAGACGAAGAAAATTGGCTGATCTTGGAGTAGCGGGATTGGCAGCAATGACAGTGACGAGTAATCGTATAATATTAATCTGAGGGAATGGACTCGTTTCCAAAGTCACTCCTGCGACTTTGATGGCAAGTCTTTCAGATTCTGTCGTACCAATTTCCGTCAAAGCAATTTCCGGTCCGCTAATCATTTGTACCAAAGCTGATAATTCTTCTTGATCATTTAATCCCTTTGTTCCTGATGCCACCCCACTGAAAGGATTATTGGTGATGGACAAACAGGCGAGAAGTGAATACACAGCTGAAGCATTGTATTCTCCTTCGGACAAAGTGACACATGTTTGATATACTAAAGTATCTTGATGAATGCGATAAAAACTTCTCATGGCATATTCTATGCAGTCTCGAATCGTCGAAGATCCCACAGCGTAAACTTCGTATAAGGGTCTCATGATTGTATTAAATCCCACAGAAGCAAAAACTCGTCTGAATCGAGCGGAACAGAGCATAAAAACTCTCATAGCTTGTGAGATTATCGGGAGATCGGTAGGATGATGCTTGAGAATCGCACCAACATTGGTGAGAAAGTGTCTCAGTTCAGCTCGGTCGGTATAATTGCGATTGACAGTTTGGAACAATTCAATGATGAGGAGAAACCAAGAGCGAGAAAAGTGAACGGATGGAAGACTGGCTTGAATCATAAGGTTTGATAACATCTTTTTGAAAAGATACACCTCTCTCGGACTGACCCGAAGGATTTGACGGAGAAGTAGCAATTGAGCCGTTTGAACATCGAGAACAGGTGCTTGCCATGGCGGATGGAGATTGAACCCACCGCCGGTACCTTCTTCATGGATTGAGGCAGGGAGAAGAACAAGTTCAGCCCTATTTCGTCGAATATCACGTAGAGATAGTTCAGACACATGCGGGGCTAAACGAGCGAGGGTGATCAGCGCTTGGGCGTAGTGTGGAAAATGGGGATTCGAGCGTAGAGTACTTTTCAGATAACCGACAATACTGTTGAACGCCGAATGAGCGAAAGACGGAGTGAGAGTAGTGAACATTGCATTCAATTGAGCTAAGGCGAGGCGGAAATCATCGATATTGTTGGTAAACGTCCGAGTGAGAATTTGAGCATCATCCCTTTGTATCCACTGTATCAATTCGCGCGACTGCTGTACGACGATACCGTCACTGTCCCGCGCGAGCATCGTCGCTTGTTCACTGACCAGGCTGGCGAAGATAGGTGCAAAGACAGCTTTTCGTCGTTTTGTGTGCATACTACCTGCTGACCCGGTAGAAGTACTTCTTCCCAGCATAGGACGTGACGGAGAGGGTGATCTGTTTCCTGCATAGGTCTCGTTCTGTTGTCGTAAAGAAGGAAGTAGTGTAATAGGCATTCGATCAGTGTCGTTCTTTCCGGTCATCATAGCTGTGTCTTCGCTCCATCCAAGATCTAATAATCGTTGTCTGAGTTCAAGGGGTAGATTGTTACCGTACTTCTGTAAAGCCGCATCGTGCTCTGCAGGTTGTGACCATTGTGAAGAACCGATTTCTGTAGCAACAAATTCAACATTACGATTGGAAAAGTGGAATATTGGACCACGTCGATCTGAAATGACTTGCTGTGAAAGGACGGAATATCGCCAACCATACAATCGGAAGAGTTTGTTCAAGGCTTGTCGTCGTATTTTCACATCCGGCGAGCACAGATCCGAAAGGATAATGACTCGGATTTGAGTCGATGTGTTCTCACCACACTTCATGAGAAGGAACGACATTGGTGCGTGGCATGCCAAATCGATCCCATAGTGACGCCAAATGTAAGGTAGGATTGATTGCCAATCGTCTTTGGAAAGACAAACCTGGACGGTCACCAGTAGCTTGCACAATGAGACGTTTAGCTTGTCACGCAGAACCCGGTGCCTTGCGTCCAGAGGAACTGGACACATTCCGTGATCGACTTGGGAATCGGTCGTACGGATCTCTTTCTCCAGATCGATATCGGTCGGTCCGCGCTTTTTCCGCAAATCGTCATATGCCGTTTGTAACAGCGAGACGATCTCCTCATCCTTCACCGCAGTCACCAGACCTCCTCGTAAGGCCCAGCTCAGGATCAAACGTTGCCAGGGAGGTCTCTTGAGCGATGTTGTTCTCAGCCTCATATGGCAGAAAAGTTGACATACAAGCGCCTTATACGAATCCGGGTACACTGTCTCATTGCCCTCCGTCTCCAGCATCGCCCCGAATCTCTGCTCAACCGTCTCCGCTAATTTCTTCAATCGACTGATTGTGACTGTTTTGTCGTCGAGATATGCCAGAGCAAGGATAAATTCAATAAGCACAGCGTAGCGACCCAGTTTGACGTTCACGATAGCCTGCTCTCCTTCTTTGCTCTTGCCTTTGGGTGTTCTCAAAACCACATCGCCCATCAAAACGATAACGATCATTTGAGGATCGGCTTCCGTCCAGAAGGCAGTAGTGCCGACGAGATCCGAAAGAAGACTGACAAGTGCAAGGTTGGCATTGAGCGCAGAAGGGGTACTTGATGCAGACAGTGAGAAAAGGGGTTTATAGAACATCTGAGGATGGGTTTTCGCGAGCCATGAGACAAAAGGTCGCGCAGTGTGAGAGGATTGTCTATGCTTCAGGAGTCTCTGTCCCGTTAGCTAGCAACAAGACTGACGCTCAACGACTTACGGTCCACAGAGCTGGTACGCATTCACGACCAATCTGATTTAGAAACGAGGATTCCAGCAGTGACCTGATCATTCGCGTTACAATAGCCAGATCATCGTCCATCACGGCTTCTTTAGCCGCCGACATGATATATAGCGCTCTATTTGGTTTTGATAACATTTGATCGGCGATGAATGCGCGGTGAGGACTCGTTGAGGAGAGGGCTGCACGGTCTGCATTGCGGAAGGGATCATCGAGATCGACAACTGGCTCTGTGGACGGAGAGCAATGCTGGAGCTGTTCCAGAGTGATGAGGAAGCTCGACAAACTGGCTAGGAGAGCATGAGTGCTCGGCAACACGTCCAGATCTCCCAATACGATTGCTTCGGCTTGACTCCAGACAAGCCCTCGAATCGACCAATCATTGCCGGCTTCTGCAAGGATTTCGAATGAAGCCAAAAACGCAGCGGATGACTGTGCTCGAAATTGTAGGACCAGAGGTGGAGCCGCATGGATGAATGGCGGAGGACGGAAGCGCTTGATTGTCAGCGACAGCGCATGTGCCCGTACACAATGAAAATACACTTACTTGCAGATTCTTTTGATCGGTCTGCAGAAGCCAAAGGGCGGTCTCTCGGTCTACCCCAAGTAATATCCCCACTGATAACCAAATGAGCTCCCTGCCTAATCCCTGATAATCGGCAAGTTCTACAGATCCCAAAAAGTCGCTGACCGGAGCTGAATCAACTAAGATTATTGCTCCATCCGCCAGGTCGGTCAAAAAATGATCGACTGTATCCAGATGTTCAGAGGCGTTCACAGATGCGCTGGTGAATCTGTATAGCTGGATGAGCGTCACGGCCAGAGACACGAAAGCTTGAACAGTATGTGGCGGTTCTGAACTTCTTGGAAGGGTCGGATCACGATATAGAAGGGCGGTCAAAAGTGTGAAACCACGGGCTTGAAGTTGTCGATCAGGCGTCATCAACGCTCTGCAAAGCCAGAGCCACCGATCCAGCTCCTCATCCGCCGTATCTGGAGCCCAATTCTTGACGAGAACACCAAAGACTTCAAGAGCTTGTTGTCGTTCACCGTCGCTGGAGGTAGACCCCGGAAGGAAGCTGACTCCTAATTCGGAAAGAATAGTGGCATGATGTGGACATGTTCGAGCCCAAGGCTTCTTGGCTCGGGCGTCCGGGAGATGACGATGTAGTTCGGTCAAAAGGGGCACGAAAGAAGAGAACTGATGTGTCGAGTCCAGCCGCATGGCATGATGTGCGGATGCATGTATTGAAGCCGCTCCGGATCTGACTGGTCCATCTGAGATCTCCGCAGGAGCTGTCGCAGCTAGGCGTCGTCTGGTCTCCTCCCGAGAGCAAGCCTCAATGCACACTCGAATATCACGTGCGAATCTCCTACGCTCCCGAGCAATCTCCTCTCTTTCTTCGGCGGACAGACCGTTTTGTAAGCTGATGCCCGAAACGGTGGACAAACGACGATCGTCATAACCCATCACACTTTCTGCAACGTGTCGAAAACCAAATTTGCCGACGGCTTTGTGTACGATGCCAGTTTTTTTCCCGGCCTTGGAAGGAGAGCGTTCGTCCACCGGTGTAGTGAGGACATGACTGCGGACCTGTTGCCAGTGCTTCAAACCAGGAGACACGGGCTTGGTCGGGGAAGTGGACGTAGCGGCGAGTAGATTACTAGTATTCAGTCGAGAGGGCTTTGGACGAGACTTTGTCGAGATAGGTGAGGTGATAGTTGGAGTGCTAGGCCGCGAGATGACGAAAGAGGAGGAGGGTGTAGTCGGACGGCCTGGTTGAGGAGCCTGTGTTCGGTGAAAGAAGGCCCGGCGACTAGGGCTCCTATTTGTGCTTTCCTCCTGTGTTGTCTTTTGGAGCGAGGGCTGGCGTGTAGTCGGAGCATCTGGCTGTATAGGAAGGTTTGCTGAGGCAGAGAGTCGTGGCGACTCCTCGGGACTGGCGGTGTAGTCATGTTCGGTATCGATGAGAGCGTCCAAGGGAGATTCAGCCCACCTCTCCAAAGATGTCAAGGATGCCAGGGAGGGCTGACTTTGGGGTAGTGTCTCGGACGTCTTGCCAAAAACGGTAGATAGTGAGGATGATGAGTCGACCCGTGAGCTGGAAGCATTGATGGACTCTGGCTTGGGACGTGGACCAGATGGTATCCTGCCAGTAAGTCGACTGGGATGAGGAGGGGTCGCCGGCTGCGTCATAGTCTATGAGATTGGGAGGGAGTTTGGAGACGCTGTAGAGACTTTCATGGCTACGTCAGAGCCAATAGAAGTAGCGTTCTACCATGCGGAAGGGACAACTCGTGATGGTGTGGTCGAATTGGTGGGGTTTCAGTGCGTGGATGTCATCTGGAAGGCCTTGGACGCGATCAAAGCGGTGTTCGCCGTTACTTACCGCCACGCTGGGAAACCCCGATAAGCGGAGAGGTACAAAATGCCACATCAGGTAACTCTTCCACTTTCCTATGTCCGAACCCCCACTGCTTCACTGACTGCTGCCCTTCCCACAAGTAATAGTTAGTAGTAGTGATCTCAAGCTCTCACATCGTAACCTCAATCTCATCATAACTGCAGCTCATTCCAACAGAATCTACATTGGCAACCACAACCTACCTTGGTCAGTTCTCCAAGTGTCTTCTTCTCCAGGCGGCAGAGCAGACTTCATATTGTCCCCCAACTTGTTCTCAGCTCCTTTATGCCGACATGGCTGCGGTGGAGAGCTCTCCCCCCGCCGCCAAACGGTTCAGGGCCGATTCACCTACCGGTTCACCCAGAAAGGTCAACGGGTATCTCAATGGTTCAACTCTCTCCACTCCGCCGCCACCTGGCACATCGGTCTCGGCCGGGGATCCTGACAGCGACAATGAGACTGAGAGTCTCGTCAAGTTCGAAGACGAAGATGTCGGAAGGAGAGACATGTACCTCGATACCGTTGGTAGTTTTCTGCAGTCTATCGGTCCACACTGACGGTCAGATTGCACGACAGAACCTCGACTTTGACTTTGAACGGTTATGCTCGAAGAGTTTGAGCAACATCAACGTTTATGCTTGTCTAGTCTGTGGCAAGTACTTTCAAGGTAGAGGAAGGGGTAGCTGGGCCTATCGTCACGCCGTGGGTGACAACCACCGTGTCTGGCTCAATCTGTCAACCGAAAAGGTAGGTCTCACTTACTCTGATCGTCTCTTTGGCTGACGACAAGTTCTACGTCCTTCCGGAGGGCTATCTAGTTTCAGACCCATCTCTCAACGATATCATTCACGTGCTCAATCCCAAATACAAATCTTCAGACCTCGCTGCTTTGTCCAAACTTCCTTCTCCTTGTTTCACCCTCAATTCGACTCTATATCTACCTGGATATATCGGTCTCAACAATATCAAGCATAACGACTATCTCAATGTCATTCTACATCTTCTTTTGCATGTACCTCCTGTCCGTAACTTTCTTCTTGACCCTGCCACTCCTGCTTTGAAGGAGGACCGACGTCCCACCGAGCTTGTTCAACGGCTATCTACTCTGTGTAAACGGTTATGGAATCCTCAGCTGTTCAAAGCTCAAATTAGCCCTCACGAATTCCTCCAAGAGGTCGCAAAACGCAGCGCCGGAAAGTTCAAGATGACTGAGCAAGGTGATCCAGTAGAGTTTCTGGGTTGGCTGGTCAACACGCTGCACAGGGATCTGGGTGGGACGAAAAAGCGTAATTCGAGCGTCATATACTCCACATTCCAGGGTAAAGTACAGATCGAGACACAGCAAGTCATCACACACAAAGAGTACGCGCGGCCGGTGTTTGACATTGGAAGAGGTGAGCTTTTCTGGCTCGTACTCTGAGTAAGGTCGAGAGCTGACCTGATAAGATATACAAACTGTATCATCCCCCTTCCTTTTCCTCGCTCTGGACCTTCCGCCGACACCTCTTTTCACCGACCTGAATGAAAAGAAAATCATCCCCCAGGTCCCGTTGTCAACCATCCTGGCGAAGTTCGATGGCAAGATGACTCAAGAATTCGGACCTACTCTCAAGAGACATCACCTGACAGCGCTTCCTCCATACCTCATTTTACACATCAAGCGATTCACCAAGAACAACTTCGTAGAAGAGAAGAATCCTACTATTGTCAACTTTCCACTCCGAGGTGTGGAACTCAACGATTGTCAGTCGCTTTTTTTTGTGTCCTCGAAATCTGCTGACATTTGCAGATGTAGACCCTAAACCAAGCGATCCCTTGCATTCTGTATACGACCTCCTTTCGAATGTCACACTTGACTCGACCGTGGCATCCACGTCAAGTACGGGTACAGGACCAGGTGTGTCTAAACGCGACCCATCTGAGGAAGGTCAGACCACGTGGAAGATACACGTCCGGGCAGGACAGGGAGGAGGTGATGAGGAGAAATGGTTCGAGATGCAAGATTTGAGAGTGGAGGAGGTACGGCGGGAGATGGTCTTCCTTGGTGAGACCGTGATTCAAGTGTGGGAAAGACGGGATCTATCAACGCCGAGAGGATAGCGAATTGTCACCTTGACCGGACGCTGCAGAGGTATATAGGGAATAAATGTGTGGGACTCAGAAAGATAGAGCATCCAATCATTTGTCTGGTGAGTATCATTCTATCAAAGCGTTGACAGTGTTCATCTAGTGTGCAGATAATCAATCATGCAAATCTCGTCCTGTATACTTGTGGCATGGGGAATTCATATGGTGGCATAGTGCTAACTATTGATACACTCAGTACACTCTTTGGACACACTCTCATGTTCATCATCTTCCATATAGACGCTACAGTCTCCGTATCACCATCTGTGACGCTTCGACGGGGGCTTGAGAGTCGACGTTTCTTGGGTAATCGTCCCTGAATACATTTGAGACATCATCTTCTTACATATCGCAAGCGTCATACGAGTTTCATTCATCATTTCCTCTTCCAACATCCTACATCATCAGCATGGTGACCCTCAATATTGATTGTATCAAGGAAAGTAAGGCTAAGGTGCTTACTCAAACGTCTCCTTGTCATTTTCCTCCAACCAAGTTTGCCTCAAGATTGTCACTGAATTCTTGATACTCTGCATTAATAGTAGGTCGAATGTCCCTCCAACACTCATTGCGTTTGTTGTCCACTGATCCAATACCTCTAAACTGGCCTGTAGAGCCTGCTCACTGGCCAAATGAGATGCTGATAGATATGAAATCCCCAAGATGGCCACCCAAGCATCATTTGTAGGTCTTATGAATGTGAGCATTTCTTTGCTGAATGACTGAGTGAAGTAGGAAGTGATACGTTGACGCGAGTCATCGGTGACGATGTCAGTATCTTGAATGATGGTGTCTTGTGTGATGGACATGGTGAGATCGCTATAATTGTTCTAGAAAAAATCAACAATCAAACGGATGAAGACGGACAAGTGGCAAAAATTGATATTTATCTCATATGACGAACTGGAGACGGAGAGGAAGGCATGTGCCACGAGCTCGACTTCCGTGATTGAGAAAAAAAAAAAGTTCCTTTCTTTTCTGACGTCGACGTATCGCCGTGTAAAACAAAAGAGGGATATTGTGGGGCGGAATAAATCGGTCAAGAGGCCTATCGACTTGTTAGAAGACCTTCGGATCATACAGTAATTAAATGAGTCATCTAAATCGGAAGAGTCGTTTTCGTCAGATCTTCCGAGATCCGGACCGGGTATGTCACATAATTCTTTACTGTATCTCCAACCCGTATCAAGAGGATATTCGCTGATGACATGCAGTGATTAGAAATGGAGGAGAATCACAAGTGATACAAGGGGAACATAGAGATCACATTTCAACTACTCCATATATGATAGTCAGATCACTACAAACCAACTTCGCATGCTGTATTGACTTGACAACCCTGGAGAATCACGAAATCTGATAATCATCATGTTCTCGCTTCGAAACACCTGTGATTGACTTCAAACGTGAGTTTAGCGCTTCAATAGCCTTCCTCTGATGATCATTCTCAGATTTCAAAGTATTGACGATGGAATACCATTCAGCACCATCGTACACAGCTTCTGCGTCCAACATGACCGCTTGTTCAAAATCGGGTCTAAGATTTTCAGCTTCATCATCTAATTAAGGAGAGGACTCACGGAAGATGACGTAGTAGATGAGGAGGTTCCCAAGCTGTTCGTATAGCCTTCAAATTCCTGTCAGCTCGAGATAAAAGACGACTGTTCATTTCATGAATATCTTTGTCTACCCATGTGACATGAGTATAATCCTCTTCTTTCTTGATATTTTCCTCGACCCATTTATCGTTCAACCAATCTTGAATTGTTCGAGTGTTGGTGTATACTGAAGAGGGAGTATTAAGGAAACCAACAGATTGATAATCATCAGCCTCGAAAGCTTCAGCCTCTAAGGCACGATCAATTGTGGAACCAGGTGCTGGTTCTGACCATCCAGGAAGGAAGTATTCAAGTTCTGCCGACCAGAAGGTATTGGTGTCTCTTAAGTGTAGAGGTAAGTCCAAAAGTTTCCGAGTAGGGGTTTTGATACTTTGGATTGCCTCAGTCACATCTGTGGGAGCTTGTAATGAGCTGACCACGAATGAAAGTGAATCACATGCTAAGTTTGTGGTTGAGGCAGCGATGGGAGTACGTTTGAGTAAAATGTTGTAAATTGACTCTTGCTGATTACCACTGTCACTGTCCTTGACTGTGCTTCGAGAAGGGTTGGTGGATGTGTGGTCGGGTTCCATAGTGTGAGATAGAACACAAAAGCTGTGAAAAGATGTGGAAGAAGAGTAAAGAGCTTTTTATCTCTTTGGTGGCCCCCTGATTATGCAAGATGACACGGGAAAGAATATCCCTCCATTGAGCCCATGGAACTCGTGTCATCGGACCGAGGTGACACGCTTGATTACCTTTGTCAGTCTTGAAGACGTGATTGCACAACATCTGGGTGGGGTTGAGCACGTTCGGGTGGGGAGAAGAACGTCTGCCATGGTTGCCAATCTCTGGTGATGATGTCATGGTCCACCGGAAGAGAAAGCTGTGTGTGCGGTAACTTGAGGGTGGTAGGTAGCTTTGACTTGTCGAGGTGATAGATCTGTCATCTCCTTGGTCATGCATGATCATCACAACAAGATCTGGTAAGGGTGTTGCTACTCAATTGTTACTCAACCATACAATCAGACTGTCAATCACACTCTGTAAACCTATCCAACTGCTGATGAAGTGCACGGACCATACGCCTCATACGCTCCATGTCCGTATAAGTTTCACACAAATCATCTAACGTGCTCTTTTCCACCTGAAGCATGATATCAATAACTCTCTGACCAGTGAGCACCTTCTCCTTCCTACTCGAGTCACTCACGGGATATGGGATATGGGCATAGGATTCCATGTAACCTGAAAGCAGTCAAAGTCTTTTTGGCTCTTTCAAGAATCCTCTTTCTGACAACATCTTGTTCTTCAAGAGCGGAAATCTCTTGAGATTCCATGCAACCCCAAATGGTTCACGTGTCTGTGAACACTCCAGGAATGTTGGACTGTACAAAAGACCCAATCATCTGGGAATAATGATTCTGTTGATCTTCTTCAGTGATTCAACCAGTGAGTTCATCACCCATCCAACTGCTCAGAAAGTTATCAGCAGCGGATGGAATAGGATCATCAAAGTATTCCATCATCTGGGAATACTTGCTTTGTTGAATTCCGTTATTCTTAAGGGTAGAAATAGCCTCAAGAATCTTTGCAGGAGTAAGCAAAGCTTCAGCAACAACTTGGAGACAATCAATCACCCCTTTGGTTGTTTTAAGCATTAGTCAATACTGGAATCCACAGTGAAAAATGGGTAGTACGCCCACGGAAGCGGTGTTCTCGTGACGGACCGTCGATTTAGGAGATTCAATCTTCCATTTTGTTGTATTCACCTGATGGCTAAGTGAAGAACATCTGAGAGAATGGCAGATGAACGAGGACATGTGGTTTACTAGTAGAGAGACCAGGGGAGTGAGGGATGGATGACATGGATGATGAGACTTTCCTTTCTACTACTCCTTCTTACAACGTCAATGGCCTAGGTGTTCATGACCTCAATTGACGTGATAGACAATCATCACAATACGTGATGACGCACGGGAAAGGTGTGCGGACACGTCATTGAAAGGTCGAACGCTGACGTGATCGTGTGACTACTGTATCAGCATCATGCGCAACCAAGTCTTTCACCACTTCCGTCTCGGCGCAAACAAGTGGTGTCAGATAATTGAAGTGCATGCATTTGATCCATGTCATACATATGTGAAGGAGTGAGATTCACTTCTTGTTTACCACACAAGCAAGTCCCTGACCCCTAGACCTCTATGTTTAGCTCTTTGGCAATGAGTCAAGCACCACGGTATGGGATCCTACCAATGGTCCATCAAATTCTGGGTACTCTCAACATCTTCCCGCCCGTTTTGATCCTCCAAATCGGCATTGAGCATCCCTCCCTGACCAATATTCACTGTGTTCTCCAATAGAATGCTGCTCAATTGATCCTGTATGACGCTGTAAGCCAAGCACAGATCCATTATAGCGACTTTTTCTTTCTCAAGATCATGTAAGACTGTTGAACTTGTACATTAGCTGTCTTACCATACAAAGCAGAAAGTCAACTAACGGGACAGGATTGGTCAGAAGAGCAGGTGCCCAAGCTTCCTTGATTATCTTCAAAGTCTCTTGGGTACATTGCATAATTCTGGTCTTCACAACATCGTTACATTCTATAGCTTGTGAAAATTGGGAATCACACCACTCACTGATCAATCTGATATCAGCAAATACTGACGGTTGTGTTCCCAACCACGGCAGAACCCGCCAGTCATCCATCGCAAATGCTACTTTGTGGTCTTCCACATTGTCTGGATTAGTGTCATATTGCAGCCACCCAGTGAGGAAGTATGCCAGATCTGATCACACATGAGGTGTGGAGAGATTGTCCCGATTGATAGGTTGATTTGGTAGAGTGCTGGTCTGATGACGTATTGTTGATAAAGAGAAATTGACCTCGACCGGAGCATCCAAAGTCAAAGCTACACTACAAAGACAATCCAACGCAACTTTGGTTATGGGGACTGACTTATTTAGGAGGTCATTCACACCTGAGAAGCTATCACCAACTGTTTGTGTGTGGCCGTCTGAAAGTTGTGAGACATCATTGAGTACTGAGAGTCCATGGCAAATGTTGAGAAGTGTCAGGATCACAGGTACCTATAGACGGGTTCCTCAAGAGTCGTACGCAGAAGTCGTACTTCACATGCCATTTCCCGTCCCCGCTTCACTAATCCCGCTACGGCGTCCTCCGTTCTCCTGTCCTACCTAATCGCTAGTTCTTTACCATGCTATACTTTTCCTTCATCTCCGTGTCCCTCATCTATCTCCGTCTTCCTTCGCTCTTGCACCCCATATCGTATTCCACATTTACTCCATAGATTTCGGTGTCACTCCGCTCCCTTTTTAGTATATAGAAACAGCCCTTTTTCGTAGATGTCTTGTCGAATGTATTTTCTCGTCACTTAGCAAATCCTTTGCCACTTGATCTCATCGACTTATAGTCTTGTCACGAACTACGTCGTGACACCTCAGATTCCACCAGCAATGACCCTCCTTTGACCATCAAAACCCCTATCACGTCTTAACCTTGTCACCCCACACGTAACTTAGGACATCTGAGACCAAGTACGGCGAAGTTAGACGGAGTTAGGAGAACCAGGGACAATGGGAGCAGAAGTACGGCAAAGTTAGGTGAACTAGGGACAATGGGAGCAGAAGTACAGCGAAGTTAGGCGGAGTTAGGTGAACTAGGGACAATGGGAGCAGAAGTGCGGCGATGTTAGGCGGAGGTAGTCGAAGGACGGGGAAAGACGGCCGGGACTCGGGGAAGTTGGACGAAGTGCGTTGAAGTACGTTCAAGCGTGGGAGGGTTGGGTGAAGATTGTCACGGCCGTCGAACAACTACCTTCTGGCAGACCAACGGTCGACGAACCTCGGCTAACTTGACGCTTCTGAATCGATGTCTCACCCAACCGGGAGGGCGCAGACGTCGAAAGGTGTCACGGTCGTTGAACAACTACCTTCTGGCAGACCGACGGTCGACGAACCTCGGCTAACTCGACGCTTCTGAATCGATGTCTCACCCAACCAGGAGGGCGCAGACGTCGAAAGGAGTGTAACTACGGCGTACTTCGGCGTAGTTACTCTAACTGGGGTTTTGTTCTACTGATGGCGATGTATCTTGATTTGTATATAGCTATCTCTATCTGTCTTTCTCTACTGACAACAATCAAGGATCGCTGAAGAACTTCAGCGATCTTCTCAGCTAATATTATCTT